TATATATATAAAAGTTTGGTGGGGTGGGGAGAATTGGATTTTTTTTTTAAGTACAATTAGCATTCACATTCATTGTTTTTGTTTAAACAAATACAAAAGGATACAAAAGAAAAAATAGAAGTCCCTTTTCACATATCCTCCCCAAAGGTAACCACCACCAACAGTTGAGTGTGTAATATCTCAGATCTTTCTCCGTACAGTTATATTCTTGTATGTATGATTATAAAAAAGTGTTACTGGGTGGTTTTGTTTTGTTTTTTCTTTTGTTTTTTCCATAAATGGGGTCATTTTGCATGTATGATTCTTTATCTTGCTTTTTTCACTTAGTACTATACGTAGGAGATCTTGTCATGTTTTAGATGGAATTTATTCTTTTTAACTGCTGCATGGTATTCCACAATATGGATGAACCATAATTCATGTACTGTTTCTCTATTAATGAACATTTAGGCTGTTAACAGTTTTCTTCATTATTACAAATAGTGGTGCTTTTTAACATCTTCAACATATATCTTTGTGTACTTGTGCAAGTGTTTCTGGAAGGATAGAAACAGGAAATGGGATTGCTGGAGCAAATGGTAGGTACATTTTAAAATACTGATGACTGCTGAGTTGAACATCAAACAGGATTTACACTAGTAATTCATGTACTTTCCTATGTTCCCATACCCTTATCTAAATTCAGCATCATCAATCTCTTACATACTTGTGAATGGTGAAGAGTATTTTCTTTAAAATTTTGCACTTTCTGCTAACTAATGCAGTCAAGCAGCTTTTCACATGTTTGTTGAATTTTCTGTGAATGGCTTATATCTATTGCTTATTTTTTCCTACTAAGTTTTGGTATTTTTCATAATGAATTGTAGGAACGCTTTATGCATTATGGCTTTTAATCTTTGATTTTACATACATACATCTTTTTCATATAGTCATTAATTATTTTTAATGTTTTGTATGTTTTGGAAAATTCTAATGTAGCTTATCAGTCTTTTTCTTTAGAGTTTTCTAGGTTTTGTGTCTTACTGAGGAAGACTGTTCTTATCCTAAGAATATATTTTATTGTAGTTTCTCATAAGACTTATATAACTTGCTTTTAGTCCATCTGGAATGTAATTTTGTGTATGATATGAGGTAGAAATTTGTTTTAGTTAGGATTTTTCTCTATTGCAAGTGACCAGCTGTCTTAAGGTATAAGGGAATTCATTATTAGCTCATGTAATTGTGACGTCCAGGCCATCGGCAGACATAACTGGACCCAGGTATCAAAACTTTTTGTCTTCCTCTCTCTCTCTCACCTTTTGGATCTACATATGTTTGTATGTTTACTTCACTCTCCCCTAATGCATTCAGGCTTTGTCCAAGTGGCAGGGAAGATAGCATCAGCAATTTGTATCCATATCTTTCCAAGGTCTGTGACCCAAAGGCAAGCCCCCTACTCCTGCTCCAAATCAAAAGTCCTTGAGGAAGGAGTTTGAGTGGCCTATCTTGGATCATATGGTTCCTACCCCTGTGGCCAGGGCAGGCAAGGTATTATGATTGATGGCTCCAGCAAAAGTATGTGGTTGGAGGGGATAGAATGGTTTTCCAAAGAGAGGGGGTTGCTGCAAAGACAGAAAACAGTGACATCCACCAGTCCACCTTTCGGTAGTTCAGCACACACAGGTGTACTGAGTATTTATTTCCATGTTTATAATTCAGGCTTGTTTTTGCCTAACATAATGTAAAGATCTCACCCACAACTGAAGACTTTTCTAAAACCTCTTCCCCCAAATTACATATGGTAATTGTATTTGGAGGCCAATCTAGGATTTCTGCATGTTGGGCATTAATTACTCTTGATAAGATCTAGATGTGGCTCATCTGGATTTCACAGTCCATGAGCTAAAGCATAAATTTAACCACCTGTGACACTCATCATCCTGGTAGTAGAGGGTATTCTTTTATCAGTCTGGCTGGCACTGGTTGGAGAATGACCATAGATGAGAGGGGAAGGAGGGCGTGGGAAGAGCCCCTTCTGGGGGTCATTCTGTGTTAGAAGCCTCATTCCTGCTGGCCATTGTTGGGAAGGGTCCATAGGGACTGCTGTAGGATTGAAAATCAAATGTACCAGTTTGGCAGGTTTGGAGTTTCTTTGGCACTTGGACCCTCTTGTGGGTTCCTCGGTACCCTGCTTAGTACCTCGTACTTGGAATCATGGATTAGGTCTTTGAAGGTAAACCTTCTCAACTCCCCAGCATGTCTGCTGTGCAGGCCGGTATCCTTAACCCTAAAATGAATGGAGTTTATCTAGGTATCTGCCTCATGTTACCATTAAACTGTGAGTGATCTACCGGGGCTGAAGCACATCTTTGAACTGGTTCTTCTTGGTTTAGTCACAGCTGATGAAGCGAAACTGAAACAACTTGAATTTGTAAACTGGGTGTACCAGAATAATAACCAGAATGGGAAAAATTATGGGTCAGCAACCTGCTAGAAACTTAATCTCTCTCTTAGAAAACAAGGGCTGCATGCGTATTGCATAGCAACCAAATCTCTTGAATAGCAGAGTTATAAACTATTGTGCCCAGCTCAAAGATGGGTGGTGACCACACCACTTTGAATATGTGTCACTTTCCACAATCCTGGCAGTAATCCAGTCTCATGCCTCAGGCACCTCTTCTAAGTCTTACATTCCTGGCTTTGACCAGTAATTTTTCCATTCCAGTTATCATTCCGGTACACTCCTATTTTACGCATTTGGGTCTGTTCCTATGTCGCCAGCCATGACTGAATTGGTTCAAACCAGTTTGAAGTCCTGGGCTGGGGCAAAGCAGATCTGTACTGAGCCTCCAGGCTGTATCACAGCCCTTATAATGGGAGGAATTATAGCCTTGGACAGAGGGTATTATTCTTAAGAACCTGCTATCTCACCCTTTTGCTCTTTCTTAGCTCCCTTCAAGTCTTACTCCCTGGGAATGAATTTTCTGCCTCCTTGCTCTTATTTGCAATAAACTTAAAACTAGTTATCTTCAAAGTCAGTTCCTACCCCTTGGTGACCCCACACATGTCAGGGTAGAACTGTGATCCGTAGGGTTTTCAAGGACTGATTTTTCAGAGGTAGATTGCCAGCCCTTTCTCCTGAGGCACCTCTGGGTATATTCTACCCACCACCTCTTCAACCAGCTGTGCACCACTCAAGGTGCTCCGCTTACCAAGTGGCAAAGGATTAACTCTCAGCAGTATTGCATCATTGTCTCTAAGTCTCGGGTGGTCAGCGTCACTCCATTTCTGCTCTCGGAAAGTCCAGCTTCATCCTCTGCTATCTTTCTTGTTGGATTTCACCCCTGGCCCCAAGAAGTAGCTGCTAGGTTCAATGTCCTGGCATTTTGCTACACTCAGTCCATCTCAAACTCCAGCATGGGTGGACTTCATGCTGACTCCCAGGAGAATAATTGTTAATCCTCTGACCAGCTGCTTTGCAATGTGTTCAACATTGAAGTTTACTAGTTCCCAGCCTGGGATGGCAAAATACTCAGTTCTCTCATCCCATCTTGAATTAACCAGTGCCATATTTGGAGGTCAGAATCTTAAAATACCAGATTGTTTAGAATGTATTGATTGCAGGTGATAAAAGTCCATCTCACCCTTGCTTAAAACAGAAAAGGAACTTTGGTGGCTCATCCACTGAGGACATTCAGAGGCAGTTGCAGCCTCGGCTGCCTTTGTGGGTCCAGGGAAGCAAGTGAGCTCACCCGCAGCTCTGCTCTCACTGCCCTCTCACGCCTTCTCCATTTTCCGTTCTCTGCTGGGCCTCTTGTCTGCTGTTAGAGTTTTCCTCAATGCTGTGGGAGTAAGAGCAGCCAACCCCTAATTTACACCCTGCCTGCTCACTAACACAAGAAGCAGAGGCCCTTTCTTCACTTCCAGATTTTAAAAATCGGAGTAGGGTGTGAGTGGCTGGGGCTGCGTAGCCAGCCCTGGGCTATCACTGGGGCCACCCCGTGGAGCTCTCTGTTGGGTCAAGCTGGGTGCCATGGCCCACCCCAAGGGGACAGAATATTTGATGTGTGGCTTTGGCAGAATCATATGATTGAAGTGGGGAAAAGCATATCCCTAAAGGAAAGAAAAGGGGGTGCTGAACAGAAAAAATTAGTGTTTACTAAATTATCTTAATTTTTTTTCCCCAAATCGATAACCAGTTTCCCCAATCCCATTTTTTTCCCCTCTACTTACTTAAAATGCATCTTGATGAATATATAAAATATGCTATCTGTCCTTTCTTTCACCAGTGCCATACTATCTTAATTGTAAAAAGCCTTTAGAGGGAAAAAGGAAAACCAGGTCTTGTTCAGCTGTCTGACTAACAGAAAATGGACAGTGATACAGCCCTTTCTGAAATCAAAGAAATATTTCGTCACAGTGAGGCTCATGGGTATAGAGCAGAAATCACTCCTGGACAGCAGAATACATCCCTTTAAAAATTAAATGACTATGGAAATGTGAGAAATCTTTATTAGAATAAAAAACTAATTTCGTTGATTTTAAAATTATCTAGATTCCTTAGGGGAAAATTCATTTGGCATTTATGTTTATAAGCTCACATCTATTAAGTACTTAAGCAATTTCAATGGAAATCTTTCTAAAGTTAATTATAACCTTTCTTTTTTATCCAAAAATCTATATTGAATGTATAAGGCAATGTTTTATTAGTGTGTTTTGAGTTACTATCTTTGTTATTTGTGAATTTCTGTAGTCCCCTCCCATTGACTAATATATGAGCTTGGAAACCAGATAACTTGGCATGTTTAACTTACCTGTAAAATAATGAATGACTCACAGTAACGTTCTGACATTCTTTCTTTTAAATAATGACATTTGTTTTGGCTATTCAAGGACTTTTTTTCCTGTTAATTTTCTGAATCTTAGATGTGCACTGGAGGTGAGTTGGCTAAGTGAGGTGTTATGGTTTATGAGTTACTCACCTGCAGTCATTACTTTGTGGCTTTTTTATTTGGGAATAGGTGAGTACAAATCAGAGAAGTCTAATGGCGAAAGAAGTGAGTCTCCCGGAGCTGGAAGAGGCGGATCTGGTTCAACGCGAATTATCACCAGATTACGGAACCCAGACAGCAAGCTGAGCCAACTGAAAAGCCAGCAGGTGGCAGCTGCAGCCCATGAAGCAAATAAATTATTTAAAGAAGGCAAAGAGGTGTGTGAGAAAGAACCAGGTGGAAAGCCTTTTGAATTGTGTTTTCCCCACTTCCAAGAGTGTAGACGGTAACAAGAATAAAAGTTAGGTTTATAGTATATAAAAAGTACTATTAACACACACAAATTTCAGTCCATGCATTGAAATACTATGAGTGCTATGCTTTCTTTCTACCTGATCAGTTTTATTGTATTCGATTCTAAAGCGATAGAACCTTCGTTTTCATGTATGCTGATGAGTGGGCGGCTGGTGGTTCAAACCCACCAGCCCTCCTTGGAAGAAAGGTTGTGCAATCTACTTCCGTAGCGATACAGCCTCGGAAACCCAGGGACGGGTCACTATGAGTCGAATCAAATCGATGGCAGTGGTTTGGCTTGGTTTTGGAATGAGCTTGCCCTTTGTTGGCTTTCTTAGAGACCCATAGCTGATTCAGTGTGCAGCTCTCGCTCTTGTCACCTCAGTTAACCTGCAGCCCAAAGGTGGCACTTCAGTGCTTAGAGCAGCACTTCCTGTCCGCTCTGACGGTGGACAGCAGGATTGAAGCTCCAGCTCATGTCTCTCCTGCCCAGCTAGCCATGGGAGCAGAGTGTGGCTCTAGCTGGGTCTCAGACTTGAGAAGTATTTGCAGGGTAGATAATGCAAGAATGTACAAGCCCCCCCTTTAAAGTCAAAAATTGCTTTAAAGCAGTGGCATTCAAACTTCTTTTTTGACTGTGACTCTCAGTGAGAAATACATTTTTCATAGCAACGTAGCACAGACATTCAAAAGTTTCCTGAAATAGTATTTCACTTACCATGTGAGCAGCACTCTTACATCCTTGTCTAGTCTGGTCTGTTGTATTATATGTCATTTTGAAAAAGCCGTTTGAGACCTACTGTTGATTTCACAGTCCACCCAAAGGCTGAGATCAACTATTTGAAAACATTGTTTTAAAGTGTCCACAAGCTCTTATACTAAAGCTGGATTGATAAAAGGAGACGAAGAAGGTGTTTTTAAGTGTTGTTGGAGGTGGGTAGTACGTGCAGTGCCCTCCCTTTTCCCTAATACACATGTTATAGGCTTGAAATAATGATAGGTGAATGATTTACACATAATTGCTTGTGTATATATGAGAACCATGAAAATACTTCACCAGTGCCTGACATAAAAGGCACTTAATAAATGTTAAGTTTTCTTTCTTTTTGCAGGTGTATCTTGCCTGCTCATTTGTAAACTGTTAGCTTTTAAACTTCAGAAGTTCAGTCATGAGATGTATCTAGTAGACTTTATTTGGAGTAATTAATTACAAATTGTTGAATGATGTTACATCTTTGATATGAATCCTGGAGTGTTTCTGTTTTCTTTGTCAGGTTCTGGTAGTTAATTCTCAAGGAGAAATTTCACGGTTGAGCACCAAAAAGGATGTTGTCATGAAAGGAAATATCAACAATTACTTTAAATTGGGTCAAGAAGGGAAGTATCGAGTCTATCACAATCAGTACTCCACCAACTCGTTTGCACTGAATAAGCACCAGCACAGAGAAGATCATGATAAGAGAAGGCACCTCGCACATAAATTCTGTCTGACTCCAGCAGGAGAGTTCAAATGGAATGGTTCTGTCCATGGGTCCAAAGTTCTTACCATATCTACTCTGAGACTGACTATCACCCAACTAGAAAACAATATCCCTTCATCCTTTCTTCATCCTAATTGGGCTTCACACAGGTAAAGGCAACTAAGGTTAACTTACTGCTGTTAAACATACTTATTATTTATAAACGCAGGAGTGTACTTTTAATGTCTTTGCCACTGAATTGACCAAAGTCAGTTTGGTTGACAAAACAGCAAAGAAGTTAAGAGGCGTACATGTACTGAACCAGCAACAGCATTTGGGAGCTTTCTAGGAAGTAGTCTGTTTGAATCGAGTGGAAGCCAGACAGAGTTCCAGAACATTATAGAAGGTTTAAGCAGTTGAAGGACTAAATGACCTCTAGGACTCCTTCCATCCTTCACAATCTGTGATTCTGTGAGATGGAAACTTATAATAATAGTATATTTATACCTGCTTATCCTAGAAATAAGGAGCTCTGGTGGTGTAGTGGGTAAGGTATTTTGGCTACTAACCTGAAGATTGGCAGTTCAAACCCTCCAGCTGCTCTGCGGGAGGAAGATGAAGCAATCTATTTTTTTAAAAGATTTACAGCCTTGGAAACCCATTGGTGGTCACTGTGAGTTGGAATGGACTTGATGGCAGTGGGCTTGGTTTATTTTTGATAGCCTAGAAATACAGGTATTATAAGATGAAGTCATCGTAAATTATGCTATTGTGCTTTTAAACTTCAGATCAACTAAGTGAAATCATTTATTTTCTTCTGCAATATAGGGCAAATTGGATCAAGGCAGTTCAGATGTGTAGCAAACCCAGAGAATTTGCATTAGCTTTGGCTATTTTGGAATGTGCAGTTAAACCAGTTGTGATGCTACCAATATGGCGGGAATCTTTAGGACATACCAGGTGAGTGACTTCTGAGCCTTGTGAATGATGAATATTTGCATTTCTTTCAGAAATATTAGTCCCTAAGGTGTTTGACTGCTAACCAGAAGGCTGGTGGTTCAAACCCACGAGCCACTCCTTGGAAGGAAGGTTGGGCAATCTACCTATTTCCATTGTGATACTGCCCCCGAAACCCAAGAAGGGGTTGCTATGAGTTGGATCCGACTCGATGGCAATGAGTTTACTAATGAAAGTTAACATATGTGAGCGGCCATATTAAAGTCGTCTTGGCCTCATTCTCCTCCTTTTTAAGATATAAACGTTGAAGGCCCTTAGCATTTATTTATAGTATAGTATTGTAATGACCAAATGAGAACAGTTTTATGAAAATTAAAAAATACTTTCTAAAGTAAAAAGCATTTTTGCTCAGTTAAAAAGCACTCCCATTTTTGGAATATCTATCCCAAATGTCCCAGGTTGTGTGCTAGCTGGTTTGCATTCTTTTTCAGAGTTGGGTATCTGGCCTCAACTCTAGTTGAGTGTCCCACTGGACTCTTTGGTTCATGCAGCTCCCAAGTGGACCCAGAGCTGTGTGACTTCAGCAGACGGTTAAGGAAAAAGATGAATAAATGTGACTTGAATCTACCTTTTAGCCTTGATGGATTTATTTTAATTAAAAAGTTACTAGGAGCCCAGAAATGGAAATAAAAATACTATTACAAAAAACAATATGAACATACGCTACAAATTTCAAAAATTATTCAAGGGTATAACAAAAAGTAAGAGACATTCTACTTTCCCTGTCACTCTATAGGGTTGACTCCAAAGGTATAATTCTGTACTTCTTTTAATGTAAATATATTTTATGTTGACTTTACATCTGTGTTGTGCTTTATAATAAACAAGTTTTTAAGAAAAGTAACTTGCCTTGCCAAGTGACAAGACTTCTTTTAAGGCTTTAATAATACTGTGGTATGCAGATGACCGGGTACCAGATTATGGATGCATTCTGTTCCTAAGTGTGTTTTTAAGTCAAATTTGTATGTCACTTGAGCAGTTAGGTAGTTTGTATCTAATGTCGCTTAGTCAAATGTTTGTCTTAGTGTATAGTGTACTTTTCTATGCATAAAAAATGTTAAGGAAACACTTGTAGGTTCACTAAAACATCTTTAACATACTAACAGAATAATAATGTTTGATGTGCCTGCAGAGTAGTGCCCATTTGTTATTACAAACCCTAGTTTGTCCCTCGAGTTTTTAATGTAATAGGCTGTACAGGTGGTACGGAAAATGTTTGTAACCCAGGGACTGGCTGGAGGTGCAGAGATAAGCACATAGACTAATGGTACAGAGTAGAGAGTGACCAGCGTGCATATGGATATATGCCAGGAGTAGCATTACAAATGATGTATTAATTATTCAATAAAAATTGATCGGGCAGTTGGTAGAAGATTGGATTTCTTTGTTTATACCATACACAAATTCAATTCCAGGTAGATTAAATCCTAAGTATGAAAAGCAAAAAAAAAAAAATTTTTTTTGAAAAGCAAAACTTTAAGAAGAAAATATAGGAGATTGTTTTTTATGACCCCGGAGTAGAGAAAGGTCCTTCCTCTTTTTCTTCTCCACTTCCTTTTTCCTCCTTCCTTCCTTTCCTTATATGTTTTCCTTCCTCTCTTCCTTTGTTCTTTCTTAGTTGCTTTTCTCTTTCTCTTAATTTTTAAATTTCCTTATTGATTGATTCACTGTTTTCCAAGAAGTACATAAAGTAGCCATTATTACTTCCATAAAGTTATATATCAGAAAAGAAAGAATGCGTGAGTGAGTGTGTGTATACACACACTGTAAATGACTTTCCCTTTAAAATATTTATTATAATATGTGATACATGCATGTAATATATGTTATAATGGGTAATAATAAAATGAACACCTGTGAATTCACTATCCAACTTAAAAATAAGAACATTACCATAGTTATTGCTGCTGTTTTCCTCTGATGGTACCTTTCCTCTCATGTAAAGTAAGCGTAATTCTTTTTTTATTTTTATTGTGATTTGGGTGAAAGTTTACAGAGCAAATGCATCTTCCATATAGCAGTTCACATATACTTTGTCTTATGACATTGACTACAATTTCATACAATGCAATAGCTCTCTTCCCACTTCCTCCCCATAGTTACCTCTTCCTATATCCTTCCCTCCCATGCACTCCTGCCCCCAAGCTGTCTCCCTGTGCATACACAGCCCTTCTGTTCTCCCATGATTGATCTCTTCAAAGAATGTATCTACTTAACTTAAATGTTCAACCCCTGTGACTGTGTTTTGTTTTGCTGGAAGCCACAGTCATGGGTTCAATTCCAGACCTGAAGGACAGCTAGGGGCCATAGTCTCAGGGGTTCCACCAGGCTCTGTCAGACCAACAAACCTGGTCCGTTTTTTTCCCAAATAATTTGAGTTTTTTCCACATTGTTCTCCCTCTCTATGCAGGATCTCCTACGTAGATGCCGCTCCAAGTGGTTGACAGTGGTAGCTGGGCACCATTTAGTTCTTCTGGTCTCATAATCATGTAGGCTGAAGATTGCGTGGTGCACCAGTTACTTGGACTAATTGTTTCCATGCATCTTTGGTTTTCCTTATTCTTATTTGCTCTGGACAAGGAGAGACCCGTTGTTGCATCTAGATGGCTGCTTGCAAGCTTTTAAGATCCCAGTCGCTGCTTGCCAAAGTAGAATGTGTAACAGTGTTTTTGTGTAGTATGTTATGCTTGATGTCCTCTGCAACCATGCTTCTGAGCCCACAGGTCCAAGTACTCCCTCCCTCTGGGTAGCTGACTGTGGCCAAGAAGTAACTACAACCTTGTCCCTTGTCAACTCTGCTATATACCTGGACGTTCTCAAAGAACATACAAATACACTTGTAGAAACATTGTCTGACAACCCTATACGTGGTCATGGGTACACTCCCCCCTACATAGACATACCTGATAGTTAAACCTGTCCACCCATCTATCCACCCGTAGATTGGGTTTGCCTTCATTGACAATGCAGTACTGTATGTGCAAAAACTCTTCCAATTCCAACTCATAGTGACCCCTCCTTGGATTTCTGAGGTGATAGCTGCAGAAGTAGATTGCCCAGTCTTCTTTCCGACCAGTGGCTGATGGGTTTGAACCACCAGTCTTCTGGTTAGCAGTCAAATGCCTTAGGCACTACGCCACCAGAGCTCCGAACATTAGAAGGTTATTAATATCATCTTTGTTGTCTGTACTTTCCATGCACCTCTCTGTGTCTTCCTCTTCTTCAGTGCTACTGTGTTGATCACTCACATTTGGTGCATTGCCCAAATACTTGTCTCTACCTATGTCTCCTCCTCTTCCCTCCCACCCCTGGTAACCAACAAAGAAAGTGTCCTTCCATATATAAACCTTTCCTTGATGTTTTACAATAATGGACTAACAAAATATTTGTCCTTCTATGATTGACATATTTCACTTAGCATAATGTCCTCCACGTTCATCCACATTATGCAGCGTTTTGCAGATGTTGCGTTATTCTTTAGTGGTGCATAGTATTACGTTGTGTTTATGTACCGTAGTTTGATTATCCATTCTTCTGTTGATGGGCACCTAGGTTGTTTCCATCTTTTCGGTAAGCATAATTCTTAGGTTTGTGTTTCATCATACTTACCCTTTTACTGTATAGTTTTATCTCACACACACACATACACATGCAGTAAACACTGGATTATCTTTTGTTGTTTGCTTTTGAGCTTTATAGTAATAAATCATTTAAAAAGACTAAATCATAGCTTGGTTGAAGGTATTTTTTGTATTTTAATAAAATAAACCAAAAAAATACCAAACTTACTGCTGTTGAGGCAATTCCAACTCATAGTGACCCCTCCTTGGATTTCTGAGGTGATAGCTACGGGAGTAGATTGCCCAGTCTTCTTTCCGACCAGTGGCTGATGGGTTTGAACCACCAGCCTTCTGGTTAGCAGTCAAATGCCTTAGGCACTACGCCACCAGAGCTCTGAATGTTAGGAGGTTATTAATATCATGCTACTCAAAGGAGTCAAAGGACGAAAATGTTCCTAATCTCCTTAGAAAGAAAGAAGGTATTTGTCTAAGTTCATTATGAGGGCAGGGGAAAGCTTAGTTAAATAGGAATAAATAAAGTGTCTGTCTGTCTGTCGATTTTTTAAAGACATATTTCAAACCAAACTATCATGTTTTCTGGTGAAACCCTTCCAAGTATTCCCATTAATACTGAGGAAGAACAAGACAAAGGTGCCCACTGCCACAACTAACTTTTCCTAAAAGTATAGCAAGTGCAATTGGTGAAAAGAAATAAAATATACTGATATTAGCAAGATGCGGGCACAATTACTATGTGCAGATGATCCAGCTATATACTTACTAAAACAGAAAATTAACTAGAAATCTGTTAGAAGCAATATGAAAAGTAACTAAGGTGGCTGACATACTGATTGATAAGGTTTCATATACACAAACCACAACCATGTAGAAATGTAATGGGAGTTCTGAGTTAAAGTAACCAATTGAATAAACACGTTTAACTTTGATTCTTCCTGAACTCCACCAAAAGTACAGCAAAGAGATTTTTTTTTTTTTTTTTTTTTAAGGCAAAAGCCCACAGGATTGGGGAGAACAACAGTGGCTAGAGCATCAATAAATTGTGGGAGATAGATGGTGACCTACCCAAGAAAGTTGAATCCCAAATTAGCAAGGAGAGCTGAGAATTTACCCAGGTTACACAATAAAACCCTCCAAAGGTGCAAAAGCAGGAAGTTAGAGCAGTCTGCTTCTGAGCATATCTGGGCCGAATGGGCAGAACCGGCCAGTACACTCACTCAGGTGAGCCTGGCGTCTTCCAGGACTCGCTCATGGTCTTACCTATTGATTTCAGCAGAAGAGCCTCTTGTAAATTCCAGAAAGCTAAAGCCAGACTATGACCCAAAGACAAGTTTCTGATTTCCTGATAACCTTCTTTTAATAATGACAATATATAAAGGGTAATTTGAGGAAAGGAAATAATACATGCTTTGATGGTACATATATATTTGTATTTTCAAAAGTGCTGTTTCTCTTATCTTAACAATTTAATTCATTTGCATTGTGAATGAGATTTCCCCCCTTGGTGGGTGTGTGTGGGGGGCTTAACCAAAATAATACTAATACTCATCTAGAAAAATTAATGTGCAAGAAGAACTGATATGTTCTAAAAAAGGGAATAGGAACTAGAACATATTTTGAACTTCAAATAATCAAAACAATTTGTGCTAGAGTAATAGAATACAATAGAAAATCCAGAAATAGCCCTAAACAGACACATGTGGGAATTTAGATAACAGTAGCATTGACCCTCAGAGAGGGAAAGGAGACATGTTTAGGTGAAAGATAACCTTGATTTCTGCCTTAGCAAGAAAATGCAGATAGATGAAGATGTTTCAAAACTGAAACTAAATACAGAAGACTTCAGTAAGAGAGCATGGATTAACTTACTTGTTTTTGTTGTGATACTTTCTTTTTAAACAGATTTAAAACCCAGATGCCATAAAGGAGAAAGTGGACACATGTATTTAAAATTCTGTGTGGAAAAATACTATAATCCAACTCAAAAGGCAGATGACAAACTGAGGGAAAATGTTTTCAGGACAAATGGAAAATTTCCTTATTTGACAGAGATCTTTTTATAAATGAAAAGGACAAATAGTACAGTACAAAAAAGACAAAGGATTTGAACGGCATTTTACAGGACAATTAATATGAACGGCCAGTGATAGTACCTTTTATTTCTCAGTTGGACTAACATTTTGAAAGTCTGATAATAAGTTTAAATGCAGGTGTGGGAAAGCAGGGTAGCTTCACGACTAATGGCAGTGTGAAGTGTGCAGATCTGAGGATCGGTGTGGCAGCACCCCACTACTGTGGCTTCAGGGTTTGTCCCACTCACTAGTCCCAAGAGTATTGGTGAATCCTTGGGATTTGAGTCAATTAGTCCCTGGTGAGAATCTACTCCCTTTCTCCTCCTCCTGTCCCTTTGTAACAGACTGTAAGAGCCTTAAGGAGCCCTGATGGTGCAGTGGTTATGTGCTTGGTGACTAACTAAAAGATCAGCCCTTCGAACCCACCAGCCACTCCTTAGGAGAAAGAGTGGTAGGCTGCTTCTGTAAAGATCACAGCCTTGGAAACCCTTTGGGGCAGGTCTCCTGTGTCCTGTGGTTTCGCTGTGAGTCGGAATGGACTAGACAGCAAAGGGTTTGGTTTTTAGTTTGTTAAGATCCTTAGGAAGTACGTTTGCTATACTAGTTGCGTGCAGCTGGTCGGCACGTGCTCTCAGCCTGGGGGAGGCTGGATTCTGGGATCTGTAGTCATAGAGAGACAAAACCTTCAAAATGGACACTGGTAGGGGAAAAGAGCCCCTGTGAGAGCGTGTGTTTGGCGGGAGGATGGAAGTTAAAAGAACTTAGCCGCCTCTCACATCTTCCCACACCTCCAAGTTGGGAAGAAGGCCCTTTATTCTTTCCATGTAGTTGTGCACAAGGAATTGGCAACATCTGGGTAGGGTGTGGTACATGGCTGTCTCTGGGTTCTTCAGAGCAACTCTTTTACCACTAGAGCATTTAGAGACAGAACCTCCTGTCCTTGTAGATTTTGGTTTATGTGTCAGTTTATGGGAAATACTCCAGTTCACAAAATTCTAATCACCTTAAGGGATCACCTCTTACCACAGGCCTGCCCCTCTCTTTAATGTAGGTGCCATGATACCCATGCAGAAAGCTTTCCTGTCTGAGAAGAGAGTGTGGCCTGTGCTCTCCTGTCTAATGAGTGAGATCAGTGTGGCGCCTCCTTCCACACCCAGAAGAGGGAGGGGCCCCCTGGGTCTCCTCTCCGTGGATGTAAGAAGCAGACCTGTGAAAGCTTTAAAACCCAATCCTAGTGAGAGAATCTGAAATATCGGTAGAAAGTTTATTTGTTGATCTTTCTTTTGGGAAAGAAAAAAATTGGGAGATAAAAGAAAATATCCTTTAAAGGAAATTGATTCAGTAAATCATAGTATGTCCATGTGGTGGTATTTCATTCGAGTCTTCCAAAGATCTAGGTTCTGATAGGGAACAATCTAGTGCAATTGTTTATTTTTCAAAGTTAAAGCTAATTCTTCCTTTCTCTGTGTATTCTTAGGTTACATAGGATGACGTCAATCGAAAGGGAAGAAAAAGAGAAAGTTAAAAAAAAAGAGAAAAAACAAGAAGAGGAAGAAACAATGCAACAAGCTACATGGGTGAAATACACATTTCCAGTCAAACATCAGGTGATTGATACTATCATCTTTTCAGACCGCTGTTTCTGAGAATCTTACTATGCAAATTTGAATGTGTAATCATTTTGTTTTACTTTTGACACAGTCTTTTAATGTAGTTGGAACAAAGTAAATTTTGCTGGTAATTTTATAAGCATAGATTTATTTTAGTTGAGTATATATATGAGTTATTAGACCAATTTGTTGAAATTGTTATATAACAGTAAAATTTTGTTATATCTTGTACATTAATAAAGAGTATTACATTCTTTCATAAATCTTATTTTTTTTCTTTACATTAAAATCATTTGTTTTAATTGTGGTAAAATATATATATTTGGAAGGAAGATGGGGCAATCTAGTTCCGTAGTGATACTGCCTCGGAAACCCAAGGAGGGGTCGCTATGAGTCGAGGCCGACTCAAAGACACATAAAAACAACAACAACTATATATATATATATATATATATATATTTATTTATTTATTTATTTATTTATAGTCAAAACATTGCCATTTCAACATTTCTTACATGTACAAACCAATGATGTTAATTATATTCCTTGTGCTATACAACCATCACCACAGTCTGTTTCCACAGTTTTCCATCACCCCAAACAGAAACTCAGTGTTCCTTAACAGTACTCTGTCTCCTCATAAATCTTTGTCTCCCAGTAAAAATCACATTGATGAACTAACATAATTAATTTGTTTGGCTTAATGGTTTTGTTAGAAACTGCCCTGGTTGCTCAGTGGTTACGCACTTGGCTGCTAACTGAAAGGTCAGTGGTTCAAAGCCACTAGCCACTCCGTTGGAGAAACAGATGAAAGTCTGTTTCCGTAAAGATTTACAGCCTTGGAAACCATAATGGTCTTGTTTGGTAAACATTTATAAAACTACATGTGCTTTATAGGCATTGTCATTTTTGTATAATCAAAATATTTTTATCTTTACCAGGTTTGGAAACAAAAAGGAGAGGAATACAGAGTGACAGGATATGGTGGTTGGAGCTGGATTAGTAAAACTCATGTTTATAGATTTGTGCCTAAATTGCCAGGCAATACTAATGTGAATTACAGAAAGTCATTAGAAGAAAGTAAGTAATTAAAGCTATTTTTCTCTCATAACTCTTGATTTGTATTACTTATTACACATTTGCAGTATATTGATCATATTTTGGATAAAAGCATTTTTTGACTCTCAACAAAATGCAAAATTACTAGTGTATCTTATAAATTAAAAACTGGACAGCTTTTTAAATTACTTTTAGTCATAAGATTTTGAGGTTTAAGATTTCAGGTGATAGATGAAAGAAAGATGATAAAATGGAATGTCTTTGTTTAAAAACAGGAAGGTGGCTTTGGCCACCTGATTGTGGTTTTTCTAAAATCTTCAGTTCAGCACTGATTGACTTTGTGAGGCATTGCACATCTGGTCACTTAACGTTGTAGTGCTTACAATGTAGTACTTTCAGAAAGGAAGCAATAGAGACGGCCACGACCCATAAATGAAGTATTAACTCAGTCGATAATCCTGGCTGACAAAGTATAGTATTTAGAATCACACAACTCCAGAGGCAAACTATCCTTTTAAAAGACCATGTAGTTCAGAACTTATGTGAGCAGATTATTTTGTGGACATCTTAAATGATGTGCTGGAGTTCACTAGGTGTGGAGTGGTCACATCTCGGCTAGACCCCATGTCTCCTGGCTTCTGCTGCCCATTTTGCATTCTACCATGCAATCTCTCTTCTGTTACCTAAGCAAGTTGCAAAAACAGTTCTACTAGCCATGCAGTGCAGTTTGCTCATATATGATGGGATGTGTTCTTCCTGTGAAGCCTAAGCTAGATTATGCGTACCGGGTAAGTGGTCTTTACCTACCCAGCTAAGTGATAGAGCTTCTTTGTGAATGGCTCTGGTGAAACATGGACTCTGGTAGATTTTTGAAGCTCTTAATATGGAAAGGTAATCATTGCTTTATCGTTTAACAGGAAAAGTACATATTTTATAAGACTCAATAGAATTTATCTTATACCCCTTAGGAGTCTCTTTTACAGAGTAGATGCTCTGTAAGCATTGCTGTTTACAAATAGAAATATTCATTGTTCAATTCTGCTATTAACTTGATTATATTCAAACTCAATATCCATTATAATAAATTACAAAAAAAGTGTTACAGCTTCTTTTTTTTTTTTCTTCCTTTATTTATTTATTTATTTATTTTTGCCATTTTGTCACCTCGGGTTTGTTCCAGTTACCCATGTGGCACTTAGAATTACAGAGGACTTTTATTTAATTATCTGATCTTGTTTGGCCTGTGTAATAAAATCTAGATCTTCAATATGCAAAATACTGTCGGTTTTTGCAGATTTATTTTCTATCAGCTTTCCTCAGCATAGGGTTTCCTGTTGTCTAAATGCTGTTGTTGTCCAGATGCTATTGTCGTCCAAATGCTATCGGGCCTTTGTCAAAGCAGAAAGGTACAGAGTTGGTCCCCTTACATCTTATGAGTCTCTTCTCCCAGGTAGCGGGGAGGAAAGCAGCAGTGTGTGTTGTCCAGGGCCTGCAGTACGTACTAGAAGGAAAGAAATAGTGACCTCTCTTAAAATGTCAGAACTAAAGGAGCCCTGCTGGTATAGTGGTTAAGGCATTTGGCCACTAACCAGAAGGTCGGTGTTTCGAGCCCATCACCCACTCTGTGGAAGAAAGATAGGGCAGTCTGCTTCTGTAAAGGTTTACAGCCTTGAAAACCTAGCGGGGGTCTCTGTGAGTAGGAATTGACTTGACGCCAATGAGGTTTTTCTGTTTTTTATTCCTTAAGGTCCCTGTTATAATGTCTAATCTAGTCTGATCATGTGACAGGCACTGATGTGTTGAAAAACAGAGAGAAATGAGATTGATACAACCCTTAGTCTCAGAACTCTTTGAGTGTTAGACTCGTTTGACCACTGGCTTTGTGTTTCTTAGCTCCAATCAGTATTCTAACTGTAAAATTGTATGCCTTTAAGTTGTACTTTAATTTTTAGACTTCAATGAAGAATTTATGTTAAATATTCTTTCTGTCAAGAAGACCGCTAATAGGAGGGAAATAATAATCATTTTATAGCTGTCTATTTTAAATATCAGGGTTCTTATAGATTGTAAAGAGCTCTGGTAGTACAGTGCCTAAGGCATCTGACTGCTAACCAAAAGGTTGGTGGTTCAGACCCACCAGGCACTCTGCAGAAGCAAAATTGGGTAATCTACTTCCGTAAAGATTTACTGCTTCAGGGACCCAGTGAGGGTCGCTATGAGTCGAAATCGATCCAATGGCAGTAGGTTGGTCTTGGCTTATGGATTGTAGATGGGGCTGTCACTTGCATATTCAGCGCTTGCGGAGCTTGAATGTTGAAAACACACTGCCCACCTGTTCTTAAATAACTAAAGAAGCCTTGAGTAAGGACAGTAATCAGTCTAGTTTTGTTGTTGTTACTGTTACATGTGAGGTCCAAACACAGCCCCTGTCACCCTTTTCTAAGATTTTCTCTGACCAGTACCCTGCTTCTGTAGGGTCACTGAGTCAGAATTAAATTGATAGCAGTGGGTTTGGGATATGTTTTTTATACTCTCTTCCTTTCCCTCAGCCAATCCTTTCTGTAAGGGATCATTCGTTTAAATAAAATAATAGTCTACCTTGTTAGTCCTTAAGATATTTGAGGTTAAGTATAGAAGAAGATGAAGGAGAGAAAAATGCCTCTAAGGCCCAAAAAGATTCATCTGGATGTAGTTCTTTTGGGGATTTTATTTCTCCCCCCCTCAACAGGGAAAACTTAAAACTGCACAAAACCAGAAAGACTAGAATAATGAGCTCGTATTACCATCATTCATTTTCAGTAATTATCAGAATCTGTCAAACTTGTTTCAGTTCTACTTTTTATTTTTTCCTAGACATTTTAAAGCAAATCCCAGACAATATCACCAAAAGGATGTATGCATTTCTAGCTGAAATGAAGATTGTTTCCATAACCATCCTGCCATTAGCATAGTCCAGGTGTTAACAATAAATATCAAAATAATGGAATCAAATGATTTTCAGTGCATATTCCATTTGGAACACTTACCTTAGGTCAACCAGGCTTATAAGAGAGCGGTAGTATACAGTGCCTTCAGCTTTTTGTTTGCTTGCTTGTTTTTGAATAAAAGTAAAATATAAATTGCTGGAAAATCTTAATCATTTCCATTAAACTAGATATATTAAAGTAAGTTGCTAATATCATAAATACCTATAATTACTAAATATTCGGTTCTTTTTTAGCCAAAAATAATATGGATGAAAATATGGATGAATCAGAGAAAAGAAAAAGTCCACGAAGTCCAAAAAAAGTGAAAGCAGAGCTTGATTCCGAGAAAGGGGAGATAAAGGATCCCAATGCTGCAAAAGGGGTAGACCAACGTGAAGTGAACAGTTCACAGGTTACCGAGAAGGACCAAGGTAAGGAGAGTAGGACGTGGGTGACAGCCCGGGGGTGATAAGAGTACGTGGCTCTAGTTCCCATAGCGGGAGAGGTACTGCATTTTTGTCGTTTTTCTTCTTTAAGTAACGCATTTATTGAGATATAATTCGCTTATCTCATAATTCACCCATTTAAAGTATCAATGGTTGTTACTGTTCACAGAGTTGGTCAACCATCACAGTCAATTTTAGAATGTTTTCTTCACTCTGAAAAAAAAAAAATTCATACCTATTAACAGTCACTCCCCAGTCGTCCCCATAAGCCCGAGACCCTGAAAACCATCAATCTACATTCTGTCTCTATGGATTTGACTTTTCTGAACCTTCCATATAAATGGAATAATACATTATGTGGTCCTTTGTGTCTGGCTTCCTTCACTTAGCATAATGTTTTCGAGGTTCACCATACTGTAGCATGAGCCAGTATTTCATTTCTTTGTATTCCCCAGATAATATTCCATCTTGTGGATATATCATATTTTTGTTTGTCCATCAGTTGATGGACATTTGTGTTGTTTCTACTTGTTGGCTGTTGTGAATAATGCTACTGTGAACAATTATGTAAATTTTTGTGCAGACATAAGGTTTTATTTGTCTTGGATGTATACATAGGAGTGGAATTGCTGGGTCATATGGTAACTCTGTGTTCAGCATTTTGAGGAACCTACATTGTCTTTTGTGTGAATAATGTTTTTCTCTATAAGCTAAATAATTCATGAGCCTAAAGATGTTTAGGAGCTCTGGTGGCACAGTATCTAAGGCATTTGACTGCCAACCAGAAGGTTGATGGTTCAAACCCACCAGCCACTCTGCAGAGGGAAGATGGGACAATCTCCTTTATTAAAGATGGGTCAAATCTACAATAAAGATTTATTGCCTTGGAAACCCAGTGGGGTATGGCTGTGAGTCAGAATTGACTCAATGGCAGTAGGTTTAGTTTAGTTTTGGTTTTAAAGATGTTTTATTATTACAAAAGACTATACAAAGTCTTACACAAAAGTAATGATACATGCAGTAACCTGTCCCATATTGAGAAATTTTTCATTGTGACATTCCATCATTTTTAGATACTAAGAATCTAAATATTTCTGTATTTGGAATATGTATGTTTAATCTTTTTTGAGCCCTGTCCATTGACCTATTTAATTATATACCAAGAACTCTGAGATATGTAGATATATATTTATATTTAAGTTCTTAGATGAAAATTGTTTTAAAAATAAAAATATTCTCATGAATTCTACATTTCACACTAAGAGTTTCAGTTTCATAAATGTCTTTGTCCACAGATTTAAAAGAACTTTTAGATTCTGATAATGATAAATCCTTCAAGGAGGAACCAATGGAAGTCGATGATGATGTGGAAACAGAGTCACAGATGAGTTGCCAGGGAAGTCCTCAAGTAGACGTGGTCAATGTCAGTGAGGGTTTTCACCTAAGGACTAGTTATAAAAAGAAAATAAAATCATCCAAATTAGATGGACTTCTTGAAAGACGAATTAAACAGTTTACACTGGAAGAGAAGCAGCGCCTAGAAAAGATGAGGATGGAGAGTGGAATTAAGGGTGCAGGGAAGACCAGTTCTTTGAAAAGCCTGTCTGAGTCTCCACTGGTAACAAAAGTAAAAGAGGAGTGTGACTTGCTTAGACAAGAGCAAAGCCCTAATGCAAGTAATGATCAATCGGAAGGTTGGATTCAAGGGTGCTCACAAGGTGATTCCTCAGTTCTTGGAATCAGTGATTCTGACCATACCACAAACAAGCTTTATTCAAAAGATCAAGCCTTTGATGAGATCTCCATTCAGAGCCCAGAGGCAAACTGTCAGAAACAGAATTCTATTGGAGATGACATAGATGAGAGTCTCTCTGAACCCACTAGTAAAGGCCAGGAATCCAGTACTGTTAGAACAAAAGGAAGTGACTTTCTCATGGATGATTCCAGACTATCCAGTGCAAATGAGATTGGTACTTTGATCTATAAGAACAAAAAAACACTGCTGCAGGAGGATGATGACACCATTGTTTCTCCTGAGAGCTCTTTACTTCCATCAGTACCTAAACGCATTGGTGACAGAAATGCCCCATCTCTGGCAAAAGCAATGGACTTCGAAGGAAAACTGGGATGTGACTCTGAATATAATAGCACTTTGGAAAATAGTTCTGACACTATGTCTATTCAAGACAGCAGTGAAGAAGATATGATTGTTCAGAATAGCAATGAAAGTATTTCTGAACAATTCATAACTCAAGAACAAAGTTTTGGAGACTCAGAGCCATTGAAACATGAGTTTGTTTCAGATAAGTCCCCTGGAAACTATGATGACAGGCTATGTGCTAAGGTGTCTGAAGCAAATGGTAAAAAAACAAGTCAAGAACGAAAGTTAGAGGAGAGACCCGTTAATAAATGTATTGATCAAATAAGTTTAAAAAATGTCACTGACAGAAGGAATAATGAAAACCGAGAATCTGAAAAGAAAGGACAGAAAGCAAGTACATTTCAAATAAATGGAAAAGATAATAAACCCAAAGTTTATTTGAAAAGTGAATGCTTGAAAGAAATCTCAGAGAGTCAGGTAGTAAGTGGTGATGTTGAACCAAAGGTTAATAATAAACTAATTCCTGAAAATGATACTAAATCATTGACTGTTAAGGAATCTGCTGTAAAGCCATTTATGAATGGTGATGTCATCATGGAAGAGTTCAATGATAAAAACAACTTGGGGACAAGACCCTGTTTACTGAGTTCTTCAGATGTAGAGGGTAACTACCAAGGTAGCCTTGCGACTCCACCATCCACCAAAGAGTCCAAGAGTGCACAGACTACCACGCCTCTGCCCTCTCGTCCAGGAAGAAGCGCAGTGCATCAGGTAGAAGAGATGGAAATTGAAACCTCAGAAGTTAAAAAAGGTACTCCGTCACCTGTTACTTCTGGAGAGGAGTCTAACCTCAGCAGCGATTTTATTGATGAAAATGGTCTGCCTAGCAGCAGAAGTGAAAATGTCAATGGAGAAGTTAAAAGAAAAACAGTCATCACTGAAGTTACCACAATGACGTCAACCATGGCCACAGAATCAAAAACTGTGATTAAGGTAGCAAAAGGTGATAAGCAGACTGTAGTCTCTTCCACAGAAAATTGTGCCAAGTCCACCGTGACAACCACCACCACGACAGTAACAAAGCTTTCCACAGCATCCGCGAGCGGCAGCGCGGACATCGTCTCTGTGAAGGAGCAGAGCAGAACTGTGGTCACCACGACGGTGACAGATTCGCTGACCACCCCCGGAGGCACTTTGGTAACATCTATGACTGTTAGCAAAGAATATTCCACAAGAGACAAAGTGAAATTGATGAAATTTTCAAGACCCAAGAAGACACGCTCAGGGACAGCTCTGCCGTCCTATCGAAAATTTGTTACTAAAAGCAGCAAGAAGAGCATATTTGTGTTGCCTAATGATGACTTAAAAAAGTTGGCCAGAAAAGGAGGGATCCGAGAAGTCCCTTACTTTAATTACAATGCAAAACCTGCCTTGGATATATGGCCATATCCTTCTCCCAGACCGACCTTTGGTATCACGTGGAGGTATGTACTTTAAAATGTATTTGGGGAAGGGAGGAAGCTGTGAAAGCATTGTCTAGTAAGAGTTATTTTTAAGAAGATGTGATCATAGAGATAGAGAGGGAAGCTTATATTTAATGGCCCAAGTTAGTAATGGAAATAAGATGTAGAAAGCTTGGAACTTGGCCAGCTGGTAGTTACTAACATTTACTTAGGGAAAAACATTGTAAAAACTCAAAATTTAAGGAAACTTTTAAAATGCAACTTAATTTTACTGTTCACAAGACAGAAGAAACATGTCCAACATGGTTGCTTTTGTGGTCTTAACTTTCCAAGTTATTTCCATGTGTTTGCTCTGGGAACAAGCTAAGCACAGAATTGAATAATCACCAACTCTCTGGGATGTTTCTGTTAGGTAGTTCATAAAAAACTTGAGATATAAGGAACATGCTGTAAATGATACAGAGCTCATCATGTGGAAATCTTCCTAATATAACTTATATGCATGATAAACATTCATGTTGGAGTTCTCTGCTATTCATGTGAGAAAAGGTAGTCCCTAAGATTCCTTATGAACTTTTTTTGACCCAGAAATACTATTAATTTAAGATATTCTGGGTATTATAAGTTTTGGGGATCAATGATAAGCTTGTATTGTTGATGGTTATAAACTCATGCGTTTTCCTTTGGGATTGGATCTTGGAGATTATCTTTGATAGATGTACAATAACTTGCCTCTGGCCACAGAGGGACAAAAGTTAAGTAGAGTGCCCAGTTTTCCTAAATTCCAGTCTACTATTTTATCTGCTGTGTCACATTTCACGTGTTTGTCCATGCTGTGTCCTTTCTCATGTCCTTGTCTTTTTATCTTTGTACCCTTATAATTGAAAAGGATGGAACATCAACATTGGGAACGTTTAGATTCCGTGGGACCTGCTCAGCAATCAGGACCAATCTCAGTTGCAGTTAGACCTTGCTAGGATGCAGAATGATTACTTCAGATTACTGGGCAGACTTCATTTCTCTCTAGCTTTCATTTCTGTGTGTCTTTTAGTGTTTCCAGTTTCTTTAAATTAAAACCATACTTTTTGTTTCCTTTATATTACAATTAGCTAGTGTTAGAACAGACCGAAAAAGAATGGGATACTCTACAAAGGAATTAATTTGTTGATACAATCAGTAGTGGTTTGTTTGACCAAGTTTTTTATAACTCATCTTTTGATTTGACTTAAAATATCATCACTCCATTACACATTCAATAGAGACAGCTGAAAAGTACAATTTCTCTGCAGGGCCTGCAATGAAGGATTTGCAGAATCCTGCAGGGAATCAAGGAAATCTTCATTACAATTCATGGATTTGTAGGATTACTCTGCACTTTTCTGCTTTCTTCATTGAGAGCGGTCCCAAAATGTATCCTTGACTGTCCTGCAGGTAACTTCTTTCCCACTGGAAAAGTTACTATGTACAGATAGTTTGATTAAAATGAGCTGGTAGGTGTGGAGGCCGACCTTTCTGCTCCTTCGTCTTCTGAAATGGAAAGGTGGGCCCAACTGGGAAGCCCTTTTCTCTCAACTTTTCTAGAAGAACTAGTCACCAGTCCTGGCCAAGTGTTGCACGGCTGTATGACCATGTTTTAATATGCACTGTGGGCACAACTGTATCTGCTTAGTTAATTTCTCATTTTTTAATGGAAGGAAATACCTTAATATACATTTTGAACAAATACTGCCTTCAAATATATTAACGTTTTAATTTGTCAAAGTTGAGAAAAATATAATCATTTCTAGTGGAGGCATGGGTAAATATGTAAAGTATTCTTGACTTTAGAATGTCTCTTTTAAAAAGAACTTGCTGTAAAATCCATGCATGTGAAATGCATTTTTATACTCACACTTGAATAAAATATGTCTGATGCTTAGAGTAAGAGCCAAGAATGCCACTGCCGCATATATGATCTTTATTAGTTTCTCATTAAAGCTGAGCAGTATTGGAAAGGTGAGACTGGTCTAGGCTCATTAGGGCCGCTCTGTCCCTCCACGCTATCCATTCCCTGCACCCTTTTCCCCAGGCCCTGAGTCTCTGTCTCATTATCACTTCCAACTGGTAGTTGTCCTTCACAGTGCAGCCGGAAGGATCCTCCTAATGGTGGGTCTGTCCCGTGACTATTCTGAGTGAGCTAAGCAACCATGTGAAGGGGGCAGGTTCACTGCTGCCGGGATGGGGGCAGGAGGAAGGCATGTGTCACTGCAGAACACATCTGGGAGAAAATGACGTCACGAGCAGAGACGGAAAGTAAGAAGCTGCAACAGAGTTTGAGCTAGAGCCTCCCCTTTCTCACATTCCTTTTCCCCCCTTGATGTCCAGAATAGAAAGCGTTCCTGTTCAAATACAGACTTGTCCCAGACTGGCCTTCTCAGTAATGAGGAGGCAATGATGTTAGTGCCGTAGGCTTTTCCTCTGCACTACAATCAACAGGGTGTTCATTGAAGTACCTAAAAGATTCTTAATTACACAACGATCACTAAAAGAGGATTGATAGCTAAGGCTGCTCAGAAGTGTTTTATGGTTAATTCTGTTTTAGGCCATGATAATGTATTGCAGTTTATTAAATTCAATTTGACAAGCTTTTACTATTACTTTAAAAAGAATATCTCAGATGTTCACTAGCTCGGCACACAGTGCTTGGAAAAAACTGGGACACGAAGGTCCCTTTGTCTCCTGATTAGTAACTAAGACCGTGTTAGCCTTTTTCTAATGACGTGTTGTTACTCATGGTTAGGAATTCTAGATTGCACTCATGCTGGGAAAGGGTTACTCAGAGTAGCGTATTTATCATCCATAGTTCATGTTAGAGCCTCAATTTTGGATACAAAAGTTTCTGTCTGGAAAGGTCTTTCTGGATTTGTGAGATCTTTTGTTTTTGTCTTGAGAAAATTTAAACAGATTATTTTGTTTGTTTCAGTGAAAAGTCAAGATTTTATCCTTCTTCAGAATGCCTTTATTGTATTTAATAACACTTTTTTATTACTCTGTATTTGCTTTTTTTCATAATTTTCTAACTATGGAATTAGGTTAAATTTATAAAATCCTATTATTGTATCAGTCTTTCCGTGAAATGTGCTCATTTTACAGACTTATATGGCATTTGAAGTAACTGCAGACCCTTTTTAAGTTGTTGAGTGCATGTTATGCTTATGAACAAGAAAGTTCTAGTAAGGGAAGTGTAACGGCCAAAGTGCATACCAAAGCAGATTAGAAATACTGAAGTCATAACGAGGACAAGAAGCATAATCCTTGAGTTGGACAGAACATATATATATGGTTCTCTTGGGTTTTACTTTCAGGTATAGACTTCAGACCGTAAAGTCCTTAGCTGGAGTGAGCCTTATGTTACGGTTACTGTGGGCAAGTTTGCGATGGGATGACATGGCAGCCAAGGCTCCTCCAGGGGGCGGGACTACACGGACAGGTAACGTTTTGTTTTATTTTCTAATTGCAGCTTAAAAGAGAAAATCACTTGACTGTTCAACTTCATTTTAAGCATATTTTAAGCATATATTTAATTCATATCATTTGTTAAAGTAAAGTCCTTGTGTTTTAAAAATACAGCCTTACTTGAGTGAGTTTGGTATCTCATGCCATTTAAACCTGAGGGGAGGGGGGCGATTGAGATTCTAAGATGAGTCCCTTATGTGTAAACCAGTCTCGGTTTTCAGAAGACATTTTTGGGTTACTGTAGAGTATGAATCGTTTAAGCTGGGACAGCTGGACTCTGTGGTGCTGCTTCTCTCCCAGGGCTTGTTTTCTTGGCTGAGTCTTGCCACTAGGAACTCAGCTGCTCCCAACAGCATTTTGTTCCCTTTAGAAGTGAGCTCAGAATTGTTGCAGTACAGCAGTGGGCCCGTGGTCATTAACTAATTTCATGTTTGCAAAAGTTTATTCCATGTGTATCTGTTTTAAAGCCCCAGATGTCTTACCTTTTTGGTCCTTGAGTATTTTTGGTTGTTATTAATATTTTTTTAATTAAATCACCATAGAAACATCTGAAACTGAAATCACAACAACAGAAATCATTAAGAGGCGAGACGTTGGTCCCTATGGCATTCGATCTGAGTATTGTATCAGGAAAATCATGTGCCCCATCGGTGTTCCAGAAGCACCGAAAGGTAAGGACAGAAAGGCTTCTCGTATTTACTGTTGGCCTCTGATGCAGACCACTGCAGTCTCCTTGAATTACTGTCTTTGGCTTATTTCACTTTGTACAACCAGGTTCTGCCACTGTTTCACTTTTTTCTGTGTTTCTACTTCTACCCCATTATCTGAACATACAGGGCTTTGACTTCATGAGGAGGTTTTATCTATTCTTACTTGCTTCCTGTGTAACCTACATATTGGTAAACCACATCCTCCTTCTCATTGCTGTGGTCGGGAAGCACATATTGCCATAGCTGTACATGGAAAAAACATCCAACTCAACAGTGGGAGGAACATGTTAGGCTTCTTAAAGGAAGTTGTATCTAAATTGCCCTCCATGAGTAGGTGTTGATCAAGTGAAAGGGGGGAGTAGGGGCTTAGAAAGAATATTCCAGCCAGAGGGAACAGGCTCAGAGGCCTTTTATATCAGGAGCTCTGGTGGCATTAGTGCCTAAGGCACATGACTGCTAACCAGTAGGGTGGCGGTTCAAACCCACCAGCCACTCCTCGGAAGGAAGGTTGGGCAATCTACTTCTGTAATGATATCAGGAGTGAGCTAACCATGGTTCATGAGTCTTGGCCTGCTTTTATAAATAAAGTTTCACTGGAACAAAGCCACACCTAACTCGTTTTACGTATTGTCTTTGGTTCATTTCACTATATGAAAAGGAAGAGTTGACTAGTGCAACAAAAACCACCTAACCCACAAAGTCTAAAATATTTACCGTCTGGACCTGTCAGAAGGAGCCCTGGTGGCACAGTGGTTAAGACTGAGCTGTTAACAAAAAGGTTGGCAGTTACAACCCACCAGCTGCCCCACTCCAAGAGAAAGATGTGACAGTCAGCTTCTGTACAGATTTAGTCTTGGAAACCCTTTCAGGCAGTTCTTCTCTGTTCTACAGTTTCTCCATGAGTGGTAATCTACTCGAAGGCAAATATATTTGGGCCTGGTTTTGGCCCTTTAAGAAAATTTACCACCCTCTGCTTTTTATGGTGTGAGAGGAGATGGCAGAATTATACTGTAACTTTAGAGCTATATTGCTAAAAATTCTCTAATTTCTTTTCCGAAGAAACACCTACACCTCAGAGGAAAGGCCTTCGATCAAGTGCATTGCGGCCAAAAAGACCAGAAACGCCCAAGCAAACTGGTCCTGTTATTATTGAAACCTGGGTAGCAGAAGAAGAGTTGGAATTGTGGGAGATCAGGGCATTTGCTGAGAGGTAAGGAAATGGTTCCACCTGATGAGAGATAAGAAGATTTTATCACTTCAGAGTTAAAGAACTATGACTTTAGTAATGTGAGTAATCAGTATGTCCTAGTTATAAATTTATAGTAGTATAAATTAATTCCCTGTGTCCTAGTTAATTTTATTTCACCTTTAGATTTTAAATGGCTGGACGTATATAGTTTATTAAAATCCTGTGTGTGATTTATTATGTGTCATTGGTCAGTTTCTAATGATCTTAATTTAAATTTCTTACTTTTAATCAAAATAATTTCATACCTTTGCCTGGTGAGAAAGTCGGTCAAATTTCACTTCTCTCGATTATGAACTGTCAGATGCCAGGTAGGGTGGTGTCTAATGATCTCCCCGTTTGTTTCCTACAGAGTGGAGAAAGAAAAGGCACAGGCAGTTGAGCAACAGGCTAAGGTTAGTGAACAGAAGAAAGCGGAGGACTTCAAGGCCCCAATGGAGGTTCAGCTAAAACAGCAGCTATTGGCTGCCCAGCAGGTGGGGGATTTGGTACTAGTCCCACCTGGCAACGAATTTACATTTTTGGCCAAATTCATGCACACCAAAAGCACATTAATTGTGTGTGTGTGTTTATGTCTGTGTGTGTGTGTGTCTGTGTTATTGTGGTAAGTATATAAGTAACAGAACATTTGCCATTTGTACAGTCCTCGCTTGTACAGTTCATTGAAACTCATTACATTCATCCTGTTATTCAACCATCACTGTATTTTCCATAGTTCTCAGTTTTATTACTTGAAAATAGCTCTGTAGATACACTAAGCTGTGGTTTTGCCAAAAGTGTACATTTGGAACGTAATGTTTAAAATGGGATTTCTCTTATTTGTAATTCAGAGGGTAGTTTCTAAAGATAAATTTTTCCTATAAAATCCCAAACTGGAAAATCTCTATAATCAAAAAAACCAAACCTACTGCCATTGAGTCAGTCATGGCGACCCTATAGGACAGTACTGCCCCATAGGGTTTTCAAAGCTATAAATCCCAAACTCAGTGCCATTGAGTCGGATCTGACTCATAGCGACCCCTCCTTGGGTTTCCAAGGTGGTATCTCTACAGAAGTAGATTGCCCAGCTTTCCTTCCAAGGAGTGGCTGGCTGGTGGGTTTGAACTGCCAGCCTTCTGGTTAGCAGTCAAATGCCTTAAGCACTATGCTACAGTCTATGAAAAGGCAAAATCATATATAAAACTCTCTAAACATTTATGGTAATTGATGATCATAAAGCTACTGATGGTTCCTTACTATGTCCAAATTCGAGTTACTGGATGAGATCACGATTAGCAAGATACAACGCGATGAAACTTCAAGCCCAGCAGAAAGTTGGTATCCTGAGCTCCTTTCATATTTCAAAATGCAAATACTGAGGACTTTCTTTTGGCTTCTTTTCTCATTGCATTGCTTTACATACTTACATTTCCTTGGAACTATTATTTTTAATGTAAATAATGTACCATACGTGCTGGAATATTAGGAACCCAGATCAAAGGGGATTACTCTTTGTCCACTGGGAAGATAGTACCAAGGTTGTTAGTCAACTTGAATATATAGACTCTTAGGATGTAGCTGAAAGAGATACGTATCTATTTATAATGTTATTAGCTTAGTCATTCATAACACTCTTAAAATCACATATAAACTATTCACTTCAGTCTATGTTTTTCTTTGACCTCAGCTTACTGTAGGTCATTAGCTTCACTTAGATCAAAGTAGTTTGAGATAGCAGCACTTTTGGATTTTGTGTGTGATGCTGTCAGTGGAAATATATCCCCAGAAATAATATTGACTCAGCCAACTATTAGCTATTTGTTTGTTTTTCATCCTATAGGTGTATTTTGTCATCTCTACAACATAGCCACTTGATTTATTGCTTTTAAAAGTGTCTTTGAAAGGCTATTTGCAAAGACATGTAAGACTTCCGGTTTGGAAGTCACATCCCTAGGAAATCACTACCAAATTTGTCTTCAGTTTCTTTGCCTCCCTTTTTCCACTGATTTAGTAAGGTGACATCCCTAAATGTCCAAAGCTAAACTCCTCTTCTTAAGAGGAATTGCTGTGGGAAACACATCACATTATTTTCAGGTACATGCAGTGTGTACAAACATTATCCTGAAAAAATTGTATGTGATGTCTTTCACAGTCAGTGTGCAAAGGCAGGAGAGAGTTCAGCCTTGAAGTCCAATGTTAGTGCCCTTCCAGCTCTACACTAACTAGCTCTGTGGCCTTGGGCAAGTTGCAAAAGCTCTCTAAGCCTTAGTTGCCTAAGTTGATTTGAGCACTAAATAAGTTAGGATGGTAAAGCAACCACATTTGCAATAAATTCCACCTGTTGTTTTTAGACATGCAGGCTGACTCATCAGACCATTGTTGAAAAAGTATTAGACGATTTTGGCAATCTGTAATAAAATTGTATGCCAAAGATCTTTAATAAGGCTGTGGTCTGAAAGACCAGACTTTGCCGCTCTGTAGGAAATATATTTCTGGAAAAATGTTTGAACTATGTAGTGTGTCTAGAGATAGTTTTTATATGGTTGAGCTTTCCTGATTGCAGGTTTGCTGCCTTGAACAGCCTCATTAGATACTGACATGTTCTGTGTGGATAAACTAAAACTGCAGTAAACAGAAGCCTTTTGCAACTTCCCCATTTGATATCTGCTATAAATCCCACCACTGAGCAGCAAGGCCTGCCTGTCTCCAGTAAGATTGCCCACATCTCTTTTATTTTCAATCTGAAAGCCTGGATATGTGTACAGGCTGGAAAAATGTGACGTCTAAATTTTTCTGTTTTGAACAACTTCATACCTTTATTAAAATATATGTGTGGTAAAGCCATGAAATTTTTGCTTTCATCAAGAAATTAAATTCAGTGGTAAACTTACAGGCATAATTTCAGAAGTAAAATATTATAGAAATTTAGTATAAGCAGTTTCCTAGATCGGGAGAAATGTGAGCTGAACTTCTTGGGAAAGGCATTGTTTTTATTTAGAACTACTTTGGCTCATGTTTTCTCTTCCCTGACTTTTCTAGAAACGATTGGAGCAGCAGAAGCCTACAGTGATTGCAGCTTCTACCACTTCCCCAACGAACAGTACAACCAGCACCATCTCTTCAGCACAGAAAGTGATGGTGGCCCCCATCAGTGGCTCAGTTGCCTCTGGGGCTAAAATGGTACTGACTACTAAAGTTGGATCTCCAGCTACAGTAACATTCCAGCAAAACAAGAACTTCCACCAGACCTTTGCCACGTGGGTTAAGCAAGGCCAGTCCAATTCAGGTACACAGCTGTGATTCAATGAAAGTTTGCTTTTCATCTGGAAACAAAGGAATTTCAGTCCTTTACCTACTGAAATAAAACATCTCTTTAGAAAATTACTTCTCTTCCGCAGCTGCTTGACCAAATAAGCTGTAACAGTTGGTTTGTTCCAGATAATATTCATAATATTACATTAGTGAGACTCCTCTCTTCCATGATTTCACTTTCAACATTTACATAGTTCACGGACTTTGAGTGGAGAGGAATGTTTTGTCTTAAAATACAAAATGAGCCACATTTCATGCATTGGTGCCCTTCCTACAAGTCACAACGTTGCTGGTTATTTTACATCTAAAGCTTATTAAATGTCTTATACCCCATTAGCCACCAGCACAGCTGCCACATCTGCTACCACCATTGCCAGCACAGGTCAGACGTTCCAAATTACAGGCAATCCAGTCACTATGGCAGGAAAAGTAATTACCAAACTGCCACTTCCTGCAAACAGCAAGATTGTCGCTGTAAATGTGCCAGCAACGCAAGGAGGTAAGGGAAATGTGAGGAGTTTTAATTCGCATTTGCCAGATCATACTGTCGCCATTATTTTTCATTTCCTTTTCACTGGTTTCAGTCCTCAGATCTCACATTCTATGTAGTCCACTTTAAAACCCTGCCACACATAGTTTCTCCTCAGAAACCGAGTGACAAGAAGTGCTTTTAATTAAAGGGCTATTTGTTAACTATTTCTTCATCTTTTTTTTAAGGTGTTGTTCAAGTACAGCAGAAAGTCCTGGGTATCATTCCATCTAGTGCAGGTACAAGTCAGCAAACGTTTACTTCATTCCAACCCAGGACAGCGACTGTCACCATTAGGCCCAACACCTCAGCCTCTGGAGGAACCACCAGCACCTCACAAGTAAGAGCTCTGCAGGGTTATTGTGTTTTGAAGCGTTGAGCTCATCAGGTGAAGTTCTTAGAGTGGCGTTGTCTTGGTTCTGGTGCCACTATCACAGACACACCAGATGGATGGCTGTAGCAAACAGGAATTTATTCTCTTACAGTTTGGGAGGCTAGAAGTCCAAATCCAGAGTGCCAGCCCTAGGCTCTGGGTGAAGGCTCCTCAACCTTGGGCTTCAGCTCTGCCTCCTGTTCAGGCCCACTGGAGCTGGAGGCTTTTTCTGACTCACACAGCTGCTGGCTGCTGAGGCTGACAAACCCAAGACCGAGAAGTAAAATGGCACGGTCCCAAGGTCAGCAGACAGCAACGCAACAGGCCCCTGATTCAAGTCCAGGACCAATCCCAAGGTTAGCAAGCAACAGGACAGGCCACTGAGGTGAAGTCTCCGCCCAGAGCAGGATCCACATGTGCTTTGAGACCCCTCTCAAAGACTCGCCTTATGTACTGGAAGCAGGCTGCACCCTGCAGGTAGCTCCTAAGCTCCCCACAGAAGGTGCCACCATGGCGGTGATTACAGTCTCATCATGGGCAATAACTGCATTTAGCTGCCCAGCCGCTCAAAACCAATGCCCAACCAAGTTGACATGCAGCCTTAACTACCACAGGCCTCTTCCAGCATTAATGCAACGTCTAATTTTTCCTTGCCTTTTACTTAATGTGTGACAAAGTGTTGATTTGGAAACAATTGATTTGTAATATTTCTAAGTAAAAAATGATATACCAACCATTAGTTACTAATAGTTAATAGTGTCTTAGTATGGTTTATGGATAATAAGAATTGCTTGATAGGAGTTTTATAAGGAAAATTTATTTCTGTAAAACAATGGACAATACTGAACCACCCAAAGAAACGTGCTGTGCAGCCTAATTAAGAAATGGAATGAACTTGAAAGGGGATCTGTGTAGGAGATCCTTGATAGAGAGGGAGAACAATGTGGACAAAACTCAAAATCATTGGAGATTAAAAAAAGTGGGGGGACCAGGTTTGCTGGTCTGATAGAGCCTGGTGGAACCACTGAGATATTACTATGGCCCCTAGCTGCCCTTCAGATCTGGAACTGAACCCACACCTATGGTTTCCAGCCAAACAAAAGACAGGCATATGAGTTGAACTTTTACCTCAAGTAGATACACTCCTTGGCGAGAACAATCATGGGAGAAAGAAGGGCTGCTTACACACAGGGAGACAGCTCAGGGGGCAGGAGTGCATGGAGGGATGGTCACAGGGAAGAGGTAACTATGGGGAGGAAGTGGGAGGGGAGCTGTTGCATTGTGGTAAACTGTGGTCAATGTCATGAGACAAAGTATATGTGAATCGCTGTATGGAAAGTAAATTTGCTCTGTAAACCTTCACCCAAATCACAATTAAAAAAAAATGGAATGAAAAATGCAGTCCACGGCACTATAACGAGTGTGTTAGCCAGCTGGTATGCACACCCCTACAGCCATCATTTCCCTGGCTCTGGTATTATGAAAAAGATTTGAAGTTTTATGGAAGGTTATTGAACCGAAGCATAAAACTGAAAATAATGTGGTCTATAGTCTCAATCTTTAGATGTTAACAGGGCATTTGGTTTCTGATCTTGATTGTTTCCTCTCCTTGTTAGAGCTGTGGGTTGGCGCTTAGAGAAAACAGGACTTGATTTCCTGTGAGCAGCAGGGTGGATTTAGAACAAAGCATTGCTGAGTTTTATTCCTGCCTTTAGTCTATAGGTTGTTCTTGGTATCAGTGTCAAAGAATTTCACATGATCTCAATTGAATTAAATTTTTTCTTCTCAAAATTCCATCTTTATTCTAATGCTTAATATAAGTTAAAATGTCATGTCCAAGAGTGTTTGCCTTGTCTGCAGACGGTTTTATCGATACAGAATGTGTGAAGACCTTATGTTCTAAGTCTAACATGCTTTAGTCTTTTCGAAACATTTTAACTCATTGTCCTTTGTGTCATTTACAGGTAATCACAGGGCCTCAAATCCGCCCTGGTATGACAGTGATTAGAGCACCACTTCAACAGTCGCCGCTAGGAAAGGCAATCATTCGAACACCCGTGATGGTACAGCCAGGTACGCACCCATTCAGTAGCACTGTCTTACATCTAAACGACCATTTAGAGCATCTCTGATACTCTGTGTTTGGCACTCTACATACGAGAAAATACCAATGTGAAGTAATACTTCGAAGCCTACCAAATTTCTAGTCTACTGTGGGATGCATCCATAGATACTGTTTCATTCTTGGCACTGCCATTAAGAGAAAAGTACAGGTATGCTTGTTAAAAAAAGACAAACAAGCAAGAACTTCTAATAAGTGAAATATGTACCATTCAAATCATGAGAGTGAAGAGAATGAGCAAACAAAACAATCTCTGTGGCAAAGGGCAGGAGTTTTGGTGGCACAGTGCCTAAGGCATTTGCCTGCTAACCAGAAGGTTGGTGGTTCAAACCCACCAGCTGCCCCACAGAAGGAAGATGGGGTAACCTACTTCTGTAAAGATTTACCACCTTGGAAACCCAGTAGGGGTCGCTATGAGTTGGAATCAACTCAGTAGCAGTGGGTTTGGTTTTTGGTTTTTATGGCAAAGAGTGGGAAGAAATTCAGGAAACTACTATGAAGCATGTAAAACAAGATCACAAAGGCAATGCCAGACCTGTCACTTACACAGCTAATGTGAATAAGTTCAAAGTCCTATATTAAAAGTTGGAGACTATAACGATTGAGTGAAAAAATCCAACTATACATTTATGTCTAAAATCAAATCATCACAAAAGGAAAAAAGATGGGCCGAGACACATGACATAAACGTCAGAGACACATGAAATAAAGGGAGGTGAAAGGGGGACAAAAAAGCAAGAACAGCCCTACTAATGTTGCACAGAGTGAATTCAATGTCAAAGAAAAAAAGGTAGTGGCTTACAGATAAAAATTGCAATGAAGATGCAATGTTGAATCTTTATGATCTTAAATAACAGTAAGTGTATGAAGTGCTTCAGTTACTAACAGAAGCATAATAAACCAGCAATGGACTGTATATCAGGTTATGTGTCTCTAGGAATTTACATTTTTTAATATATTTATGGGCTCCTTGGTCATATAATGAACCACAGATAAAACTTTGATAACTTCCAGAAAGCGGAATGTATATAGGTCACATTCTTTGACCACACTGTAGTAAAGCTAGAAATTAATATTAAGATACTTTGCGAATAAATTTTATTTACTTGAAAATTTACAAAAGTATGCTCTCACAAATAACTTTCTGGTAAAGAAACATCAATGTGTAATTGCAAGCAAATTATCAAATAGCACCTTTAAGCCATGTTGCCAGAGCTGAACTCGGAGGTCAATTCATATTTCTTCATTCAACCAATATTTGAGTACCTGCTCTATACAGTTGAGATAAAGTAAACAAAACAACCCAATATTCTTAAACAGTAACTAATCAGAAATTAGAAAAATACATAAAACAAGTCTTGAAAGAAAACAGGAGGGAACAAATAGCCAAAAGTAATGATAATGAGAAACCAGAAAAGGCAAAAATTATTAAACAGACCATTCTTTTCACATCTTATCTTGAAAAAAAGAGAGCAAAACACTAATTCACAGAATTATGAATGAGGAAATATTATAAAAATATAGTTTTGTTAAAAATCTCGAGAGAATTATGCACTCAGATCCTTGTGAGACTCTGAAATCTCACTGTCAAAACTCTGAAACTGAGTTGGAAATTTGACAGCAAGACATAATTATATACTGTGCTTGTAAACTGGAAGTCTCAATAACTCATAGCAAGGAAAGAAATTAGAAAAGTTACCATAGAATTACCTATACAAAAATATTCCACATCTCAAGTTTTATGGGTAAATTCTTTGAAATTGTCAGGGAACAGATAATTTATTACTTAAAAAAAATACAGGGCATAGGAGGAATAAAACATAATCTCCCCATTCATTTTACAGATTTAGCACAACTGTGACATCAGACGTAAGGCGCTGTGGTGGCACTGTGGTTTAGGTATTAGGCTGCTGACAAAATGTTGACAGTTCAAACCCACTAGCTGCCCTATGGGAGAAAGATGAGGCAGTCTGCTTCAGTAAAGATTACAACCTTGGGATCCCTATGGGGGGGTCACTGTGAGTTAGAATCAACTCAGTGGCAGTGGGTTTGATATTTTGGCTCGTAAACCAAACATAGCAGTATTTAAAAAAGAGGAAGTGGGGACAATCTTATGTTCCTATGCAGGATTTACCCCAGAAAAGAAAGGGTAATCTGTTACTTCAGTTGATGTTACCAAGACAGTTGATAAAATTCATTATCTATTCCTGTTTAAAACTTTGTCAGTTGGGCAGGTAACTGAAAGGAAAGGTGTAACTGATACAAAGGTTGGTGGGTTTGAACCACCAGGCTTTTGGTTAGCGGCTGAATACCTTAACCACCGTGCAACCAGAGCTTCTTGTTTCTCAATGCAGATACTGCTTTCTTCTTCCAGTGCCAGGCCCTGCTCCAGCCCCATGTAGGACTACTGTTAGGAACAGCAGAGACAAAATATCAGCCCTCGTAGAGCTTATGGTCCAGTGGGAAAAGTAGACAGTAAGCAGATAAGTTATATATGTATTATGCTAAATAGCAATTACAACTTAGTAAAAAGGAAGGTGACAAGAATGTTGAAGGGTTGTCTCGGGTGGTTTGCAAAGGAGAGGTGAGTCCTGGCAAGGGCGGCTGGAGAAGGACCACTGACGAGGTGAAATTTGAATGAAGACCTGATGGAAATGAGGAAACTCTGCAGCTGTCTGGATAGAGGGTTCTTCATGAAGGAGCATCAGATACAAAGGCCCTGAAGTGGGAGTGTGCCTGGGCTATTGAAGGAAAGGCTCAGTGACCTGCGGGGCTGGTCGGCTGAGGGGGAAGAGGAAGGCGGAGAGTCGTGGGCGCTGGGGCTGGAGAGGTGGAAAATGAGGTGTGGAGATGTGTGTGTCTGAGCGTGGACAGGCCTCACTGGAGCTCAGCCCTGTTGTTACTGCTACACTCGGCTTTCTCAAAAAGGGATCTGTAGACTACCCAGGTATCATTGAAAACTTTTAATTTTTGTATTTGCATTTTGATGGTAATCTGTTAGTGAATTAATACGTACATATTGGGGAGCCTCTGGATGACCATTATCTAATCCGTTGAAAGAAAGCAAACAATTGCCATCAAGTTGATTCCAGCCCACAGCCACCCTGTGTGTGCCGGAGAACTGTGCTCTGGAGAACTGTCCAGAGCCGATTTTGCCGAATAGATCGCCAGGCCTGCCTTCCGTGGTGCCTCTGGGTGGACGCAAACCTCCACCCTTCCAGTTTGCACCACTTAGTACAGCATGTTCTCCATCTACATTTATGATGATCCTGGTGACCCCCTAAAGTGGTAACTTCCCATGCATTGTTTCCCAAACTGCCGTACAAGGACGTAGTGCCGGCGTCCAAAAGTTCTCAATTAGAGCATTTGACTGCACTACACCATATGCCTTTTAATTCATCTTGAAAAAAATAAATGGATGAGAATAACCAAGAAAATTTTAGAAGTGATGGAAGACTTGCCCTGGCAGTTGTTCTGGAATATTATAAAGCCACCAGAATCAGGTGATAGCAAAGGAAGACTAGATAGAAGAAGCTAATTAAAGAAGCTTTATGTGTGAAATTTGGTTGTAAGACGAAGGTATCACTCAGTCGGCAGGGAGGGACTCGATTCACCGGTAAATGATACTGGAATAATCAGCTTACAGCTTGGGGCAGCAGTAGACCTTGGTCTCAAAACGTGTACCATGACTGAGAGAAGATATTTAGGAAGATGTGTCTGATTGGAGAATGCAGGAGAACTATAACAGACGGTAATTAAAGTGAAAAATTTCTGAAAAGCAAAAGTATGGCCAGATTGACAAGTTTATAGTTTAAAAATAAATAAAGGTAGATAGTAAAATGAGAAAAACACATATTTGCAATTTATATCTTTAATTTATAAAAAGCTATCATAAGTCCAAAGGAAAAGATAAAAAGACCCAAGTAGAGAAATGGGTGGAGTGTGGACAGTTGGCCATTGGAGTACGAATGACTTAAACAGTTTGAAATCTCTACCCTCTGTAGGAGTTGAAGCAATGCAAGCACTGTCAGGCTGTGTTTACTCTTTCCAGGTGCTTGAATAGTTTGCTGTACTAGTGAGAACTAGACTTGTCAAGGGTTCAGTGAAATGCAGAGGTGGTGGTGGGCGTGTGAGTTGGTGTAACTTTCCTATTACTCAGCTGCTAGATAGTAAGAGATAGGTTTGTGGGTGAACAGAAAGGCAGGATACCAAAAGCACACTACACTAAGGAAAAGGAAGGCACGGAGAGGTACACAAGAGGTACAGACAACAAGGCTAAACACTTTTGCATACATCTTTTTAACAGTCATAACAAACATTGGTCTATGGGTAGATACCTACATAGATAGGCCAAATGATCAGGTATAGGTAGGCAAAAGGGAATATACCCATGACCATATGTAAATTTGGCAGGTGATATTTCTACATACATATTTGTGTGTGCTATGACAATGTCGTATTACACTGGGCAAATCTGCTGCAAAAGACCTTGCTAAAATGGTAAGGAGCAAAGGTGTCACTTTGAAGACTAAGGTGCACCTGCACCTGACCTAGGCATGGTTTTTTCAGTCGTCTCATATACATGTGAAAGCCGGACAGTGAAAGAGACTGAAGAAGAGTTGATGCATTTGAATTATGGTGTTGGCAAAGAATACTGAAAATACCATGGACAGCCAGAAAAATGAACAAATCTGTCCTGGAAGAAGTGCAGTTGGAATGCTTCTTGGAAGTAAGAATGGCCAGACTTCATCTCACCCATTTGGTCATGTTGTCAGAAGGGACCAGTCCCTGGAGAAGGATATCATGCTGCATAAAGCAGAGGGTCAGTGAAAAAGGAGAAGACCCTTAACAGGGTGGATTGACCCAGTGGCTGCAATGATGGGCTTAAGCAGAGCAAGGGTTGTGAGGCTGGTGCGGGACCAGGCAGTGTTTGGTTCTGTTGTCCACAGGGTTACTGTGGCACCTATCAACAGCAACATAAGAATGTCCATTTATATAATAGAGCTAATGGGGCAAAGTTAGGATAACTTTCTAGCCACAGCCAAACACCTTGAAGGAATGAGTCACAGGGCCTCACGCTTAGGGCCATTGTTGCAGGGGATATTAAGCTCAGTTAGAATAACATGCTACACAAAAACTTTGCTCTGCATCCTACTTTGGTGAGTAGTAACTGGGGTCTTAAAAGCTTGCAAGTGGCCGTTTGAGATGCAACCATTGGTCTCTCCGCATCAGGAGCAAAGAGTGGAGAAAATCAAAGATGCATAGACACAGTCAAGGGACTAGTGGATCATGGGAGCCTCAGGCTGCATGACCCTGAGACCAGAACTAGATAGTACCCGGCTACCACTGGCAACCACTCAGGAAGGGATCGAAGTAGGAGATCCTGAATAGAGTGGGAGACAGAGTGGAGCAAAATTCAAAATCAAAAACAACCAGGCTTACTGGTCTGATTGAGACTGGTGAATCCCCCGAGAATAGGGTGGGCCCTAGTCACCCTTCAGGCCTGGAATTGGACTCACTCCCGTGGCTTCCAACCAAACAGTAGACAGGCCTACAAGCTAAACAAATACACCAGGTAGGTGCACTCCTTAGAACAATCAAACATAGACTATCAGAAGGGCAGGAATGCATAGAAAAGAAGGGCACAAGAAAAAGGTAACCACAGGGAGGAAGTGGGAGGAGCTGTTAAATTATGGGATTGCAGTTCAGTGTCATGAAACAAAATGTTTGTGAACTGTTGAATGGAAAATGAATTTGCTCTGTGAACTTTCACCCAAATCACAGTTACAAGCAAACAAACAAAATCAGTTTAGTATTGTGTTCCTGCTGTGAACCCAGTACACTTTAGTATTGTGTTCCTGCTGTGAGCCCAGTACATGTTAGTATTGTGTTCCTACTGTGAACCCAGCACAATTTTGTGGAGTTAAGGAAATGATCAGAAGCACACAAAGACTGATAAGCAAGGGTTTTACCACCACTTATGTAATGAGCCCTGGTGGCGCAGTGGTTAAGCATGCAGCTGCTAACTGACAGGTCAGCATTGTGAGTTCAGCAGCTACTCTGCAGGAGGAGGCGGCAGTCTGCGTCTGTAGAGACTGCAGCCTTGGAAACCAATGGGGCAGCTCTCCTCTCCTGGAGCTTTGCTGTCAGTCAGAGCGGCCTTGACAGCAGTGGGTTGATGAGAAGATGAGAAGGGAGAGTAATCTGGATATCAAAATAGGGTTCGTTTTATATATGTACAGTAATGGCGCTCTGGTGGCACAGTGCCTAGAGCATTTGACTGCTAACCAGAAGGCTGGCGGTTCAAACCCACCAGCCACTCCTCGGAAGGAAGGTTGGGCAATCTACTTCTGTAGTGATACCGCCTCGGAAACCTAAGGAAGGGTCACTATGAGTTGTATCAGACTCAACGGCAGTGAGTTTGGTTTTTTTAGGTTTCGTGTACAATAATATTAAAGACCACCCAGCCATTAAAAGAAGCACACATTAAAAATATCTTTTCCCCACAAAACGAAAAAGAAAGGACATAAATACAAAAACTTAAGAAATATGATTTTATTTACTAATTTAAAATGAATCTGGAAACTGTAAATGTAAAATTAGACCAAATAATCACTCCTGACGACTTATCCACAAGGGGAAGGAATCCCTCTTGCCTTCCCCCCCCCACCCCAGTTTCAGTGAATTAAGTGAAAAAGTCGGGTTTTCAGAAGAATACAGTGCCGCTCCATTCGTTCAGTTGGCACTGGGGCGATTGCTGGGTCAGCTTCCTCTGAGCACTTAGTCCTGGTGCTGAGCATGGGTGCTCCTTGCCCTTAGAGTCCCCTAAGCTGTTGGTCAAAATACCTGTAAGAGAAGCTCATTTGGCCCCGTGTATTCCAAATTCTCAGTGTATTTTACTTCAGATTCACATGAATTAGTTATATATTAGATTATTATTTTTAATATGATATTTCTAAGAAAAGACAGCCTTGTCAATGGCATATTTTACACATCCTCTCTGTTATCATTTTGGCTTTAGACACAAAAGAATGTTGATTATTTTTCCACCCTATTTCAGATAGAGGGAACGAAGGGGTGATTGCCAGTGAGTTGAATAAGAACACACATTGACAACTGAAAGGTGGTCCTTTCAGTGTGGCTGTATCTCTGGATTCATCCTTGGGCCTTCCATAAGTCTTGTTAAGAATTGAAATGAGTGCACTTACCTGCGGTGCTCAACCATTTCAACTCAGAACGGTGCCGAGGGCCCCACGGCTTCATAATGGTCTGCTGTTTGCATAGGTGCTCCTCAGCAGGTGGTGACACAGATCATCAGAGGGCAGCCCGTCTCAACCGCAATCTCTGCCCCTAATGCTGTCTCCTCAGCACCTGGGCAGAAAGGACTGACACCAGGCACAGCCACTGCCAACCTACCGGCGCCAACCTCACAGCCGCCCCGCCCTCAACAAGGACAGGTGAAGCTTACTATGGCTCAGCTCACTCAGTTGACACAGGGCCACGTAAGTAATGGCGACTTGGTTTCCATTTTAGAGATGACTTTACTTGTCCCTGCTGTACGTTTAAAAACAGGTACTTACTTTCATAAGTTTAAAAACTGTAGTTATTTTAAGAAATGGTGGTTTCATGGGGTGAAAAGAAAATACTCCATTATTAAGTCCTGCAGGCAGTGAGCTATGCCAGCAGGAGGGATACCCTCATACCACCAAGATTTGTTTAGTGGCCAGTTTCCCATGGAAAAATAAAACTGGATTATGTTAGAACACTTCCTTCCAAGACAAGACTGACTATTGTAAAGGTACCCGTTCTTGCAGGTGTTGCTCAGTAGGGGTGCTTCCAGTGAAAACACAGTTCCCAAGAAAATTCATAAAGTTTTTTTTGTGGAACTTGACAAGCTTCTTGTAAAATTTCTATGGAAGTATGAAAGACCACGAATGGTTATGACGGTGAGGCGGGAGGCTTTGCGCTGCGTGATAACTTGATATCAAAACTTGCAAAGCTGCAGTAACTGATACAATGAGGTATAGACTACAGGATAGACAAATAAATGACACAGTCAAGCATACAAAAGGTGACACTTGTGAACACTTGTTAGGTTTGCAGAACACTGAAGAAGGGACAGCCTTTCACTGGTACTGTGCAACTGGTTATAGGTTGGAAAACATGAAATTGGACTAGTGCTTCGCTCTGTACATATACTCAGTCCTAGGAGAACGAAAGGCTTGCCTGTGAAAGGCAAAACTGTAGTGTTCATGGAAGATAAGAGGATATGTTCATAACCTTGGCACAGGAAAGACTTTCTTAAAAAAGCCACAATACACTAACCATTAAAGGAAAGATTTATAAATTCAGCTATTATGTGTTAAAAGAATGAGAGAAGGTACAAATATAACTGGTCGAGGACTATATAAAGAATCCATGAAGAACCACTACAAATCAGGAAGGAGAAAATCCAGATAGCTCAGTAGAAAAGGAAAGGCCAAGTTGATAAGGAAAGATTGTTGTTATTGTTTTTGTGTTTGTTTTTGTTTGTTAATTTTATTTACGTTATTATTGTTGAGAATATGTACAGCAAAACCATCAAGTCAGCAGTTTCTGCGTAAACACTTTAGTGACACTGATTCCGTTCTTTGAATGGTGTACCCATTCTCACCTTCCCTTTCTAAGTTGTTCCCCCTCCACTAACATAAACTCACTGCCCCCTGAGGTGCCTCTCTGATCTTTCAAGGTGCTGTTCTCATTTTGATCCCATATACATGTACATAAATTAACTGTGTATATGGGATCAAAAGGACAACAGAAAGATTTTTTGAGGACTGTTCAAAAAACCAAAAGCTGCGGAATTTTATTAGTCATCAGGGAACTGCATATTAAAATTATATACCTAAGAGATCAGTAAAATTAAAATTGTCCAACAAAACAACAAATGAGCAAGGGCGTGGAGCAAGATGATCTCCCCCCCACTGTAGGTAGAAGAATATATTGGGTTCAGCCATCGGGCCAAACTCCGAAACTAGACTGGTATGTATTTCTAGCCACACCTTTGTCAAGAAGTTTTGAGGGCTGTTATACCCACTCCTAAGCATTCTCTGGTAGAGTTGAAGGTGTGCATGGCCCTGGACCCAGAAGTTCTTGTTCTAAATCTAGAGATGCATGTTCATGTGTATGCCAGAATACAAGTACATGAATGTTCATAGCCTGGACAGCATTGTCCATAAGATCCCCAAACCAGGAACAACCCAAACTACAATCAGTTGGATAAATAAAGTACGTTACGTTCCTGCCGCCACGGAAACGCACAACGTGCGGCTCCACAGAACTGCACAGATGAGTCTCATAGGTTGTTGACTGAACCAAGTCACAGGAGATGCAGAGGTGCCGTCTGGTGGTGTTGCCTTAGACCTTAGTTGTATATTTTCATTATATTAAGGGTCTTTTCAACATAAAAATGACTTGATAAAAATGATCACTTAAAAATCTAAGCTTTGAACACTGTTGACTTGATGTGTTTTTTCCCACAGGGTGGCAATCAAGGTTTGACAGTAGTGATTCAAGGGCAAGGCCAGACCACTGGGCAGTTGCAGTTGATACCTCAAGGGGTAGCTGTGCTCCCAGGCCCAGGACAGCAGCTCATGCAAGCTGCAATGCCGAACGGGACTGTTCAGCGGTTCCTCTTTACCCCCTTGGCAACGACGGCCACGGCCGCCAGCACCACGACCAGCACCGTCTCCACTGCAGCAGCAGGTACAACTGGGGTTCGTCAGAAATAGCGAATGGTGTTCTCACATCTGTTCGGCTAACAGAGGAGACAAAGGGGGACAAATACTTACCTTTGGGAGTCTGTACCTCAAGCCTCACAAGATCTCAGGTGCTTTTGTGCCTTCTTCTTAGAGACTCCCTATCACCACCACGATGGAGAGGGGGGCAAAAAATAATGGATGTCTTGGTAACTGTGTCCACACTTACTCCCTGCCGAGTCTTGGCAGCAGTGATCCAGTCATGGAGGTGATCTCGGGGAGGGTGGGTGTACTCAGCCTACAGCCTGGAATTGAGAGCTACAGGTCTGGAACGACTTTGTTAAGTACCTCCTGTGAGCCCCTGTCACTGTTCACCACCACCATGCCATAGGAGGAGAGGCTGGGTGGGGAGGGAGCAGAAGACTGGGCTCATTTCCAGGCTGTACTTTGCTTTGGAAGCCAGTTCTCTATGGGCGTGGAGAGCCAGTAAACTGTGTGGGGAACAAACGTGAAACAGGCCCAGGCCCCCCAGGTTAGAACAGCCCTCACCCAAGCAAGTCCAACCTTCTACATTAAAATACAGAATTCTTGACTTCTGAAAATTCCCTTAAATGCTTTAAACATGGTCTTATGTTCTAGAGTAATGAAAATGTCTGACCTTTCCTTTTCACAGGTACAGGTGAACAAAAACAGAGTAAATTGTCACCCCAGGCACAGGTGCAACAGGCCAAAACCCTCCCACCTGCTCAGTCATCCAGCGTGAGTCCAGAAGGGCCGCCACCGACTGCTCAGTCTTCTGCTCAGCCCCAGGCCCCAACCCAGCCCCCGTCCCCAGCTCAGCCTGAAGTTCAGACTCAGCCTGAAGTTCAGACCCAAACAACCGTTTCATCCCATGTTCCTTCCGAAGCACAACCCATCCAAACACAGTCATCCAAACCCCAAGTTGCAGTACAGTCTCAGCCTCAGAGTAATGTCCAAGGACAGTCTCCTGTTCGTGTCCAAAGTCCACCACAGACTCGAATACGTCCATCAACTCCATCCCAAGTGTCTCCTGGACAGCAGTCCCAGGTTCAGACTACAGCCTCACAGCCGATTCCAATTCAGCCACATACTTCTCTTCCGATACCTTCCCAAGGCCAGCCACAATCACAACCCCAGGTACAGTCTTCAACTCAAACTCTTTCATCAGGACAAACGTTAAATCAAGTTACTGTTTCATCCCCATCCCGTCCTCAGCTACAAATACAGCAGCCACAGCCCCAAGTCATTGCTGTGCCTCAGCTGCAACAACAAGTCCAGGTTGTGGCTCAGATACAGGCTCAGCAAGGTGGTGTGCCCCAGCAAATCAGACTCCAGTTACCCATTCAGATGCAGCAAAGCAGGCCTGTGCAGACTCACCACATTCAGAATGTGGTTACAGTGCAGGCAGCCAGTGTGCAAGAGCAGTTGCAAAGGGTTCAGCAACTCAGGGATCAGCAGCAAAAGAAGAAACAGCAACAGATAGAAATTAAGCGTGAACACACCCTCCAAGCTTCTAATCAAAGTGAAATCATTCAGAAACAGGTAAAGTCATTAAGTAAAAGCAGCATGTTCAGTAGCTTGAATTATTGTGCTGTGCATTAGACTTAGTGTTTGGTTTCATTAGGTTTCCGAAATGAGACAAAATTTACTAATGCTTAAACTTAGAAGAAGCACTAGATTGACCAAAACATACCGAATGATTACGATGGTTTGAAGTCTCTGGTAGATATATAGAGTCAGTGCCTATTGAAAAGTCACTGTATTTTGGGAGAACCATGATGGGAAGAATGGAACTAAGAGTTTAAGGATCATGGATACAAAACGTGAAGGATTAGCTGCGTTTTAAAACTGCTTCAGACATGATAGCAGTTTATTTGAAATTATTTCTGTTTTCATTTCTCAGTTTGCGTAGACACAAAGCAAATTTTAGACAGGCTAGACTCATTTGTATTTCTAGCCACACCTTTGTCAAAAAGTTCTAAAGAGTATTACACCCACTCCTCATTTATCTACATGATTAGCTTTCAAAGACCAGGGCGTTACGCAAAAGTCGGTGTTGTGGAAAAATGGAAGATGACCGCATCAGAGCACAAAATGGAAGATGAGCACATCATTACACAACTGCCACATCCCATCATTACACTACTGCCAGTCCACTGAGGATCGTGGATTGACAAGCCAAGTTGATGCATAATCTTAACCATCACAGTCTGAGTTACTCTTGCTTAGCACCTCAGCATTCATCATTGCAAATGTATGTCATTAATGCACAAAGTAGACAGTAGGTTTTCAGCGTTGTAAATGCAGAGTGTCAGATAATGAGAGACTCAGTAAGTGAGGAGCAGGTGTATTCCATAGCTTAGATAAAAAGCAGCCTCTTTTAGTGGCATCTCAGTGAAGTGAGACGACTTGAATGAGTTAGAAGTGTTTACTCAAGAAGTCACATTCGTAACAACCTACAGCTTTATTGAGGAACACGTTCTTTGTTTCCTCAACTTGCATCACTCGGTGCTAGTTAGGAGTTTGAGTGTGGATTTCATCTCTCAGGGAGGCAACATCTTACGTAAGTGTAGTGAAGAAAATTTCAGAAAAACAATGTGTTCGCTTGAAAAAGAGCCAAAACACGGGGAAAAGAAATGGGAGGGGTGTGTGTCCTCTTTAATGGAGACAGGGTGTAGTCAGAGCATTGCTTATGGGATGTAATTGAATTCTCAGTTAATATTTTGCTTGCTTTGATGCCTGCATTTCAGTTCATCCTAGTTAAAGTCAGTAACTAAAGGACTGAAAAATACTTCTAGATTTACGCTATTAAGTACAGTAGCCACTAGCCACACATGACTATTTAAATTAATTAAAATTAAATGAACTTTAGAATTCTGTTCTTCCATCTCACTGGCCGCATCCAGGGGCTCAGTGACCACATGTGGCCTGTGACCCCAGTGTTAAACAGTGCAGCTCTAGGACATTGCCATCATCGCAGAAAGTTCTGTTGAGCAGTGCTAGTCCGGGTACTACAAACTTATTTTCTGACACAATTTTCCCGTAAGGATCCAAAGTACAACATGGTTCTCAAAAGGTCAAGAGATCTGATCGTGGTGTACGTGAGGTCACCGTGAGTCAGGGGCCAACTTGACAGTAGCTGCCAGCAGCAGAAGTTTAGAAGCGTCTGTCAGCTCGCATTGTGTTTCCTGTTCGTACGTCGTGGAGCTTTGCGTGTCCCATGTGCCTTGCATTCTCTGCCTTGGTCCATGACTGTACCTACCAGTCAAATCCCTCCCCTGAAATGAGGCCTTCTCAGGAAGGTTGGAAGTTAGCTTCAGTGTGTGTGTCACTGGAAGATCACTGGAATAAGAAGAAAGGTTTTTATAGGATGAAGGTAGGTCTCCAGGAGCCCTAACCCTAAAGAAGGTAGGGACCTGGCCTCCAGCAAGCAAATGATGACAGTACAGGCAGTTCTCTGTGCACTTGAAATGTTCTGTTTTTATAGTTAAAAGAATTGTAAGAATTTATACTTTCTTCTTACCGAGCCGTGAGTGGAAAACCATGTCTTCCTATAAAGAGTACACGTGTTACCAAGTCATGAGCCCTGTTCTTGGGTCCTGAAATTTCTGTGAAATTCACTTATCTCCCCTCAGGGTACCCTTGTTGAAATGTCTGTCTTACCAGCCACCTGCTTTTGTTGGAATGATTAAATAAGATCCTATATGTAGAAGGACTTTTCAAATGGCAAAGGAATTTTAAAGTCGTAAGGTAGTAGTATAAAGTTGAGGTTACATATAATATGTCCAAATGCATTATCACACAGCTTTTAGTACTGTAGACTCTGAACTTTATTTTTTAAATAAAGCCTAATTATAAGTTGAGAATTATTACAGTGTCTGTCCTCTAATCTGTATACAGGCATAAGTTGGAGATACTGTGGCTTTGGTTTCCAAACTACCACAATAAAGCAAGTCACACAAATTTGTGTTTTTCCCAGTGCATATGGATTTGTTTACACTACCCTGTAGTCTGTTAAGGGTGCACTAGCATTATGAGCAAGTTTGAAGTATTGTGAGAGCTACCAAAGCACGACACAGACACACAAAGTGAGCACAGCTGTTGGAACAATGGTACTGATAGACTGTCTCATGCAAGGTTGCCACCGAGATTTTTGTTTGTTTGTTTGGTTGGTTGGTTGGTTTTAATTAATTTATTTTAAAAAATACACAGTATCTGTGGAGTGCAATAATAAAACAAGGTATACCTGTACGGGGCAGGGTGCTCTTTAAAATTAATGCCTGTGAAAACAGCAAAATGTTAGAAGCATGGCCTTTGGAGAGCAATGGCCAGCTTAAAATCTCAGCTGTTTTGCTTATTCTTCAATCTCAAACTAGTCAGTTAATTTCTTTACGAGTCAGTATCTCGTAAACGTACCCCTCCCTTCAGTGTTGTTATGAGGAGTAAATGAGGTGAAGTCAGTTGGCTTGGCTTAGCACAGTACCCAACACATGGTGAAAATCCTGGCCATATGGTGGCTGTTCATTTTATTTGTATTATGATATAAAATTCTTACAGTTTCTTTGGAAAACACATCTGTTCAGATTTCTACTGTTATCTGTGTACCCATTTGTAATCACTATAAAATACACACTTTTGGATTTTGTTCTGTCCTGAAGGTGGTGATGAAACATAATGCTGTAATCGAGCATTTAAAACAGAAAAAGACCATGACTCCAGCTGAAAGAGAGGAGAATCAAAGGTAGGGACACATGCTTATGGCCCAGCAGCCGGGCCTCCTCGTCTTATCAGTCTCTGCAGCCCACACATGAGTTCTGGCTATATTTTTTCACTTGGTTGAAGTCCATTAAATAAGAATACCTGGTACTAATAGGCACTTGGTAATAGGTGCACGTAACTGGTTTGAATCACTCTGAAGTTCTCATCGTAGGAAGTTTATGACAGCGGTTGACACAGAAAAATCACTGTGTTAAGTCTTTCAGAATGAAATGGCCAGCGTGACACAGATTGTGTATTTTTCTCTAGAATGATTGTCTGTAACCAGGTGATGAAGTATATTTTGGATAAGATCGATAAAGAAGAAAAGCAGGCAGCGAAAAAACGGAAGCGTGAAGAAAGTGTGGAACAAAAACGGAGCAAGCAGAACGCGACCAAGCTCTCGGCCCTGCTTTTCAAACACAAAGAGCAGCTGAAAGCTGAGATTCTGAAAAAGAGAGCGCTCCTGGACAAGGAGCTGCAGCTGGAAGTGCAGGTGAGAGGTGTCCAGCGGTTAGCGTCTGACTTGATTCTTTCCTCCCTTCCTTCCCGGGTGTCCAGCGGTTAGCGTCTGACTTGATTCTTTCCTCCCTTCCTTCCCGGGTGTCCAGCGGTTAGCGTCTGACTTGATTCTTTCCTCCCTTGGTTTTTCAGTTCAGCTTGTATTTTCAGATTTAAGCCGAAAATGGGTATGAGTTCAAAATCGTTTTCTTCCTGCTCACACCTCGTGGACCTTTGTGTGTTCCACGCGGCTTCCTTCTCTCTCTTCTTCCTTTTCTGTATCTGTCATGCGTGATCTTCACTGTTAAGATGAAACCTCTTCATTGGGGTTTGAAACTCTGGGCTTCTGGATTTGGCGTGTGTGTAGAGAGTACATAGAGTAAAAGCTGTGGACATGGGTCTTGAAACAGGCAGAGATTTTATATCTAAATATACATTGCAGTCTCCAAACGAGCCCCATTGAGAGAGAGAGTCTCTTGATGAAAATACTCAAATCTCTTTGGGAATGGGTTTCAGAGTCTGTGACATGTTCTTAGCAAAAGTCATTAAGAACCATGCTTCATAAAGAAGATAGAGAACTGCAGGATAATGTTGAAAAAATCAGAAATAAAATTTGCCCATTAAGTAGTAAGACCAGTTTTCTTTCTTGACTTCTAACTCATTCTGAAGGCATTTCTAATCTTAAGTTGCTTAGGGAATTTATGGAAGAAAAATGAAAGAAGATGCCAATTTGTACATCTTTAAACAGCATTCTTGAAAAGTTATCTAGAACATTCCTAAAAATGACTTGTAAATTTTCAGAAGGTGAGAAGTATTTAGAAATAGCGATCAGACGACAACCAGCATTACACGTTAGAGATCTTCCCACTAAAGTCATAAATGAGAACAGTGCCAACCATGGCATCTCTGGAAGTTCTAGCTAATGCAGGAAAAAGAAATGAGAGTAAAACTTGGAGAAAAGAGGACGAAATTGTCAGGAGTGATATGATTATTACATTGAAGCCTCAAGGGCTGAAGATGTAAGGAAAAATTTTGACTAGGAAAGAAATACCATAAATAACGTTGAAAAACATAACAGGAGAAAATTTTTGTTGACATTTATGGCAGAGTTAATATTCCGAAAATTCAAAGAACTCTTGTATCAATAAAAAAGGTGAACACTCTGATAGGAAAATATGTAAGAGACATAAACAAGCAATTTTGAATTTTAAAAATGCCACTTACCAATAAACATAAAAAGATACTCAATCTAACTACTAATGAAAATACCATTTTTTTAGAAGGGAGAGAAATACCATTTCTCTAGAAAATGCCATGCTCTTCTAAAGAACATTTCATCGATGTATATGAAGAGCATCTCAGATGTGCAAACTGTTAGATCCATAATTTCACTTTTAGAAATTCATTTAAGAAACAATCTTGCAAGGTGTATAAACAAGGATATTCATGAACCTGTTCGTAATAGCACAAAATTGACCTCAACTGAGAGTCCACGAAGAAGAGATTAGTAATCGCTGTTTCTCCAGCAGGAGCACTCTTGGCCCTTTAGGGAGGCCAGGTTTTTTAATTTTTATTGTGATTCAGGTGAAAGTTTACAGAGCAAATTCATTTTCCATACAGTAGTTCATGTACATTTTGTCTCATGACATGGACCACAGTGTCCCACAGTGTAACAGCTCTCCTGTAATGTAACACTTCCTCCCCATAGTTACCTCTTCCTTGTGTCCTTCCCTCCCATGCACTCCTGCCCCCCCCACCCCCGCAGCTGTCTCCCTGTGCATACACTGCCCTCTGTTCTCCATGATTGACCTCTCCAAGGAGTGTATCTGCCTGATGTAAATGTCCAGCCCATAGGCCTGTTTATTATTTGGCTGGAAGCCACAAGAGTGAGTTCAATTCCAGACCTAAAGGGCAGCTGTGAGCCATAGTCCCAGGGATTTCACTGGGCTCTAGCAGACCCGCAAACCTGGTCTTTCTTTTTTTTTTCTTAATGATTTTGAGTTTTGTTCCACGTTGTTCTCCTGCTCTATCCAGGGTCTCCTGCACTGATCCCCCTCCCAGTAGTTGCCAGTGGTAGCCAGGCACCATCTAGTTCTTCTGGTCTCATAAGTCATACAGGCTGAGTATCTCATGGTCTGCCAGTCCCTTGGATTAATTGTTTCCATGTGTCTTTGGTTTTCTTCATTATTCTTTGCTCTGGATGAGGAAAGACCCATCATTGCATCTAAGTGGCCACTTGCAAGCTTTTAATATCCCAGTTGCTACCTGCCGAAGTAGGATGTGGAACAGTGTTTTGTGTAGTATGTTATGCCAATGAGCTTGATGTCTCCGGGGACCATGGTCCTGAGTTTATAGGTCCAACTACTTGGTCACTTTGGGTAGCTGGCTATGGCCAAGAAGTGACTACAACCTTGTCCCTTGTCAGCTCTACTGTATGCCTAGCCATTCTTATAACACATACAAATACGTTTCTTAGAAACGTCATCTGCCAACCCTGTACATGGTTGTGGGCACTCTGCCCCCTGTCTGGACAAACTTGATCGTTCAGCCTGTCCACCCATCTGTCCACCCATAGATCAGTGTTTGCTATCACTGACAATGCAGTACTGAATGTGCAAAACGGTTCATCTTTGTTGTCTGTTCCTCCCATGTACCTCTCTCTGTCTTCCTCTTCCTCATCGCCACCATGTTGATCACTCACATTTGGTACATAGCCCTTCCCTTCACCCAAATCAATACTTATCTCTACCTATCTAGCAGTGTTTCCCTCCCTTCCCTCCCCCCCGCCAGGTAAACAAAAAAGAAAATTTCATTCCATCCATATATAAACCTTTCCTTGACTTTTCACAATAGCAGACTAAGACAATATCTGTCCTTCTGTGATTGACTTATTTCACTCAGCATAATGTCCTCCAAGTTCATCCACGTTATGCGGGGTTTTGCAGAGTCTATGTTACTCTTTAGGGTTGCATGATATTCCATTTTGTGTATGTACCGTAGTTTGTTTATCCATTCTTCTGTTGTTGGGCGCCTAGGTTGTTTCCATCTTTTTGCTATTATAAATAGTACTGCAGTGAACGTGGATGTGCATGTATCTGTTCTTGTCCTGGCTCTCACTTCTTTAGGATATATACCTGCTGTTCTGGTTCCCTAGTGCCACTCTGACAAGAAAATACCACAAATGGGATGGCCTTAACAAATAGGAGTTTATTCTCTTACAGTTTAGAGGCTTTAAGTCCAAGTTCAAAGTGCCAGGCTCTAGGGGCTGGGTGAAAGCCCCTCAACCTTGGGGTCCAGCTCTGCCTCCTGCTCCCAGCTCACTGGAGCTAGAGGCATTTCTTCACTCAGACAGCTGCTAGCTGCTGAGGCTGACAAACCCAAGTTCGACAAATAAAATGGCACAGTCCCGATATTACCAAACCACACAGCAGGCCATTAATTTAAGTCCATTGTAAGTCCTAAGGTCGGCAGAGCATGGCAAGCTACTGAACAACGACATGGTTACATGCAGGGTCCAAGCATGCCATAAGCTAGAGACCGTGCCCCAAGGCTTCTGCTTATATACAGGAAGCAGACCACATTCCCTAAGGCAGCTGCTCAGCCTGCTCACAGTAGATTCCACCAATCTCATCATGGGGAATACTATATCCAACTGCCCAGCCACTCAATCAGGCCAAGCCAAGTTGCCACACAAACTGAACAACCACACCTGGTAATGGAATTGCTGAGTCAGATGGTATTTCTGATTCCAACTTTTTGAGGAATCGCCTTACTGCTTTCCACAGTGGTTGTATCATTTGACAGTCCCACCAGCAGTATATGAGAGTCCCAATCTCTCCACATCATTGCCAGCATTTGTTATTTTCTATCTTGTTGAACTTTGCCACTAGGGCTGGGGCAAGATGGTATCTCATTGATGCTTTGATTTTCATTTCTCTAATGGCTAACCCACCAGCCACTCCTCGAAAGGAAGGTTGGGCAATCTACTTCCGTAGTGATACCGCCTCGGAAACCCAAGGAGGGGTCGCTATGAGTTGGGTCTGACTCGACGGCACATAACAACAACAGCAACAATGGCTAATGGTTGTGAACATTTCTTCATGTGTTTGTTAGCAGTCTGAATATCCTCTGGTGAAATGTCTGTTCACGTCTTCTTGGGCAGGGCAGTTTTGTACATACTGCAGGACGTTTAGCATCCCTGGCCCTGAGTATCAAATGCTAATAGCCTCGCCACCATTGTAACAACCAGAAAAGTCCTGCCCCCTCCACACACGTCCTTAAACACTGTCTGGGTGTGAGCAGGAGCACTCTCCGTTGAAAACCACTGGTTGGATCAGTTTTGGCCTGTACACATAACGAGCTGCCATTTTAACAAAGCAGTGAGTGTAGGGTTGATTGATTCTTTTTGTTTGTGTTTTAAATTCTTCGGGAAAATTCTTAGTGATAAATTGTTAAATGAGAAATGCAGATTGTGGAAGAGTCTATATCGTGTAATATATAAATTCAATGTGTTCAACAAATGTTATTCCTGCCGATAGGTGCCCTTGTGTAGGTTTTGACTCAGGGCGACCCCATGTGACCAAGCAGGACTGATTGCTTCTAGGCTATCATGTTTACGGGGCAGATTGCAGGTCTTTCTCTGGAAGAGCTGGTCAGTGGGCTCAGACCCTTCAGTTAGCAGGCACCGTGCTTCTTACTCAACAAACGCATATTGATTTAGCATTTAAGATGTGCCATACGCTGCTTCCACTTCATATGGGGAAAATATTGAAGGATAGAGAACTGACAGTCTGTATCCTTTACGTATAAATAACTTGGCAATAAAATAGAGTTTTAAAGTGAATATTGCATTACATGTACATTCAAATGTTACCCTTCAAAGAAGTTACCTTGGCAAACAAAATAATAATAATCTATAATTTCACCACCTAATCATTTTTAAATAATTTGAGAATATGTTTTTGTGTATTGTTTTTAATGTATGTATTCATATACAGATATTTTATACATAAACAATCACAAACATACTAGACATTTTTCTGTGTTGAAAATTATTGAAAAATTGTTCTGCTGCAAATATTCTGTTGTAAAACTTTGGTGTTATTTTTGACAGTGTATTATTTATCTAATGAGGAAGAAAAGTTACACTTTAAACAAGAAGATGCCCAGCATTACAGGCAGCCCCTGGGTTATGAGTGTCCCACTTCCCTACGAACCAACCCTATTTAAAAAAAAAATCAAGGTACATGCAATGATTTGTAATAATAACTAGTGCTACTTTGCAACACACATCAAAGCATTATTATTATTATTATTACTGTGTTATGTTAATATATGTTTTAGTGAATCTAGAAGTGTTTCTTTAATGTTTTATGCATAGAAGGGTACACTATATATTGTATACTAAGATAAACATTTGACTAACTGACGTTAGATATGAACCATACAAAATTCAACTTAAAGACAGACTTAGGAATGGAAAATGGAAAAGTGTTTGTAATGTGGGGACTTGCCTGTATTTTAATTAGCATAATTAATATTTTGCTGCCAAGGCACTTTGCTTTAAAAGACAACAATCAGTAGGCATGTTTGTTTTTAAAATTATTTTTCATTATAATGATTTAATCTTTTATTTTCAAGAGATGTGATTGGGTACCTCTTCCTGTTCTTATATCATTTTGGCTTGTTTTTTTTTTTTAATAAAACAATGTCTTATTCTCTTTTTTAATATAACATGCCTATATTTGCTTGAATATTTCAAACGTATATAGTATAAAGTTTGTGTCAGATTGTTGTTCTGTACGTTAATTTCATATGGCGTGAATTCAGGTTTAATTACTGATCTTGTTGGTTATCTTTTTTCACATTACATGTTGTCATTGGTTTGGCGTTTTGTCATTGCTTTTGGCTTTTGTAAGCTTACTTTGAGTGGGAGGGATCTCGTGTTTGTTTGCTCTCAGCCAGCCCCTAATGTCTAGCAGTGAGCCTGCTCCTGGCACCTACCAAACACTCAGCCTCCTTAGTCCTCTTGACACTTCCTGGTCTGCTTCCCGAACACAGCCTGCCTGCAGCTTTAGCCTTGTTCGGTGTTACTTATCTAGCTGTTCCATAGAGATATTTATATCTTATTCAAGTATGGTTGGGTTATTTCAGTTTTCTCTTTTTTTGTATTTTACTGCCAATGGTATAAGGAGCTCTGGTGGTACAGTGGTCAAGGCATTCATCTACCAACCAAAAAGGTCAGCAGTTTGAACACACCAGCCACTTCATGGCAGAAAGATGTGACAGTCTGCCTCCATAAAGATTCACAGCCTTGGAAACCTGGGGGGCAGTTCTACTCTGTCCTGTAGGGTCACTATGAGTCAGGATCAAACCGATGGCAGTGGGTTTGGTTTTGGGTGTTTATCGTTGGTGTATGCTTGAAGGAGGGGTCGGGAGCTGATGAAAGTGTGAACTCACTAAACCACTTGACCATCCTGGTTTTTCTAAAATCCATCTCTTATGTTATAAACAGAGTCCTGGGTGGTGTAGACAGTTAAGTGCTCGGCTGCTAACCCAAAGGTTGGTCATTTGGGTGCATCCAGAGGCACTGCAGAAGAAAGGCCTGGCAGTTGACTTCTAAACAACCAGACACTGAAAACCCAGCGACCACATCTCTGCTGTGACGCGGAGGGGTCACTGAGTCGGAATTGACTCAGCAGCAGCTGGTTTTGGTTTTCTGATACAAACACAGCGTATAAATTAGGAAAAACAAAACTCAAGATTTTCTTTTTTTTCTTCTCTGGTTAAAAAAATTAGACTCTTTTTAAATAGAAAAGGGCTGTTTTTAAATAGAAAAGGACTGTTGAATAATTAGTTACACAGTTTATCTTCTCACTGGACTCTAGGGGAGCTCTGGTGGCACAGTCCCTAAGATATTTGACTGCTAACCAGAAGACTGGCAGTTCAAACCTATCAGTCACTCCTTGGAGGGAAGACTGGACAGTCCACTTCCATAGAGATAACTACCTCGGAAACCCAAGGAGGGGTCGCTATGAGTCAGAAACGACTTGACGGTAGTAAGTTTTTTGGAGGCTCTCTAGATTTTAGATGAAGAAAATAGGCTGTGAACCAGGGGCGTTCGGGTTTATTTGTTAGAATTTCTGTGATATTTCAAAGCTAGGAAGATACCAATGTAGGTGTTGTTACTGATGCAGCAAGGGTGGGTCAAGGGCACGGACGGGGGAGGGGTCTGCAGCGGTAAGAAGGTCCTGGGTAGAACGGCTCGTTTTCCAGATATCCGCAGACTCATCTCTAGGCAAATCCTGGAAATGATTTTATTTTGTTTTCTGTTCATAGACCTCTCCATGAAGTGTCTACTTTGAATCTGTATAACTCCTGTAGGTTTAGGAACTCATTTAAATTAGCCTTTAAAAGCAGCCATTTTGCTGCTAGTAAACTACTCCGTTTCTCTTAAGTGAACCTACCATAATGGCAGAAACCAGACCGAACTCACTGCCATCAAGTCAATTCTGACTCATAATGACCCCCGTTGGGTTTCCAAGGCTGTAGATCTTTATGGAAGCAGACTGCTCCGTCTGTCTTTTGTAGAGTGGCTGCTGGGTTTGAGCTACCAAGCTTTTTGGTTAGCAGGCAGATGGCATAACCACTACAGCACCAGAGTTCCTCCCGGCAAAAGTGGTGTCGGAATCCTAAGTGACAGCTCCCAGTCTGCTTTTTAAGAGCCTGGGTTTAATTGTTTTCTCCTCTTATCTCCTCTTTCACCTGAATAAAGAAAACAGGGCCTCCACCTCCGTAAACCTCTGGTACTTGGAATACACTATTCACATGTGCAAAATGATTCTAACTCTGAATATAACTCTGAATTTTGTTGGGCGAGAGAATAATTTATAATTGCCTCAGCTTGTAAGAAATATTCTTGATCATAGCTATGATTCATGTACACCAAGCTCTTATTCATGAATGCCAATCAAAGCGGTGCCCCCCCCCCCTCGCAGGGGAAGTGGAATTTGCTTGAATCAGTTGTTGAACTGGGTAACAGGAGTGTTTGCAGGAAATACTTTACATGGAAAAAAGTAAGGGTTTTAATTTATGGTAGAATCTGTAGTAGTACTGTGATGCTCAGTGTGGCCCTGTCCTGCTGTCTGGACGTGGGGACGTGACATGCAGGACTGATCCGTCCTCGCCCTGCTCCCTGCTGCATAGACCAGACCAGTCGAGGGCCACATTCAGTCTCACTCTGAGGACACAGAATGTGTACTGCCTAAGAGAGCACCTGTGGATGAGGACGCTTGAAAGCGCATCCCAGGCAGCGACTGAAATGACCAGGACGTGGTGGTGGGCAAGCTGGGAAGGCCAGTCCTTTAGGCACGTGCCCATCTTTCTGTCAAACCTCCTTTAAAGACCGCTAGCAGCTTTCTAGTTGTCGTGTCATCTTCGTTTCCTATTTCTAATCATTTTGATTGGGTTTAAGATTCCGTCAGAAAAACCTTGTTTGGCATCACTGCGAGTCCTTCACATTAAGCTGCAGCTGTGGAGGGAGCTCAGCTAGGGAGGTAACATGATATCCTCTGGCCAGATCTTGCATTTACCAAATTCTAATGACAGTCTTGTATTTCATTGACAACAGGAAGAGCTAAAGAAAGACCTTAAACTTAAGAAAGAAAGAGACCTGGCGCAGGCTGCCACAGTGGCTGCAGGACCCCCGGGGTCTGCAGCCCCTCCAGCCCCTCCACCGTCACCTCCAGCCGCCCCACAGCACCCAGGCCTCCTGTCCACACCCACGCTACCTGTGGTTTCCCAGAAGAGGAAGCGGGAAGAGGACAGAGACTCCAGCTCCAAGTCCAAGAAGAAGAAAATGATCTCTACTACCTCAAAGGAAACCAAGAAGGACACAAAGCTTTACTGTATCTGTAAAACGCCTTATGATGAGTCTAAGTGAGTAGATCTTTTTGAGCTCTAGTTGTTTCTTCACCAGTTTAGCTGTTAGATTGATGATTTTGAAGAGATTAGTAGATCGGGAGAAATCTAGGAGAAAATAGTCAAAAGCGAGGGTAAGGGGCTTCCTCTGTGATCTTTCATCCGAGACCCTTCATCTTGACACTAGGAAGGGGAAGTGTGTTATTTCACGCGCTCATGAGTCTTGGTGGTCTGTCGCCATGTTCCTTCCTGTCAAAAACAAGCTTTCTGTTGCTCCTTTGCTGTTCCTCTCTGGGTTGATGCCCACCAGTCAGTGGTGCTGTCTGGTGGGGAGGGGCATGATTACTGCTTCTCAGACGGAGAGCACCCTTTCTGGGCTCTGCTCCCAAGCCTGTGATGGCATTCAGTCCTGGAAACCATCAGCATATCAATGGGGAAGAGAATTCAAGTTCACATGCTGGGGTTCCTTTTATTGTATCATTTTAAACAGCTTTGTGTTTTTTACATTTGACTACCACAGCTTAATATTATTTTTATCAGAATTCTCACTTTTTTATTAGGGACAAAAGTCAGAAAAATACCAAAAAAATGACCCTGTCACCATTCTTCCAGTGTGACCCTCAGAAATTGGATTCGCGTCACAGCGAGCAGCTGCTTTTGACGGTTGTGACTTGTGTTTGGTGACAGAAGCAGCAGTGTGGAGACACGAATCCATGAGTGTAGTTTCATTTTTGGCGTCATTACTAACATTTGACTCAGTATTTAGCTTCCATTTTGAGCATTAAAATGTTGGCCAGCTTTTTTAAGCCAAAATTACCTGTAATAATTTTCACAGTACGAAGAAGTGCATTTGATTGTGCCAAAATACGTGACCATTTGGAATTAGGAGTAGTTAGTGTCTGCTTTAGGTGGGCACCTATGCAATTCATAAAATACCATTGTGGTCTCAACATTGACGCTGCTTTGGGGGCACTGTCTAAATCATGATCTCTTTGCAAATGCCAGATCAAAACTTTGTGTTGGTAGATTGAGCTGTATGTTAAATTAAACATTACTCAGTTGAGATCAGTTTGGGCCTCTTCACTTTTCATTGTCTTTCCTCGTTGGGAATTATATATAATGTAAAAAGTGGAGCCCAATGAACTGACTTTTCCCTTTGTCTAATACAAGCGTGCCTCACTTTAAGCAAAATTCACTAAATGATTTACAGAACTTGATTGACTCCCTCTACAAAAAGATTTGCTTATGAATTGTCTTTAACTATCAAGACTTGTTTTGGCCTATTTCAAATCTTCAAATTACAGAAATCCATTTCACCCACCACTTGATGAACAGCAGAGTTGCATAAAAGGAGGTCCACCTGCGTGCGTGCTCATTCTGTTGAGACGGCTTCATTACGTGGATGCCTCATCTTTTTCAGCTTCATTATTAACATTCCTGCGTTCCAGGTTCATTCATGCCACGTTCTAGTTGGGAGGAGTGGGGGATTTTTTAGGAGTACCTTGTAATCTCTCAGACTCTAGTTTAACCTGAGGCTGGTTTGGAACTCTAGGGACAAGAAATTGAAAGTCAGGTCCTAAGCTGACTGCCAGACCACAGCCCGATGGAGGCAATGTACAAACCGCCTCGAGCAACCTTAGCCCACGGCGGTGAAGGACATGGGAGAGTCACGGGAGAAAGAGTGATGACATAGGGCCAAGCACTGCCCCGGGACCGCTGTTACATTGTCATCACGAAGCAGGGTAGTTTGAAGCTTGCACACTACTTCCATTCCTGGGTGAACTGACCTACGAAGGCCTTGATAGATAGAGTAGGCTGGCAGTAGTATCAGCAAGGGCAGCTGGATCCCTTTGACCCATGCGACTTCTCACGTTCCTTCACAGCTCCGGTCAACACATTAGACACACGGAGTAAGCGTTTGCCATTAAAGATTTCATATCAGAAAAGCTCTTGGAGGGTTCAGTGTTTGTGACTCCCCCAGTGGCACAGCCATACAGTCCCATCCCACCTTCCCACATACTATTTCAAACCTCTCACGATTTTAGTAACTGTGCTTACATCCCTCTCTGCACGCCGTATCCCTGGTTCTGAATTGAAGCAGCTCCTTCAGAGTTGCTATGCAGATAACTCCCGAGGCCTCACTCTCCACGTATCCACACACGTGATGTTCACTGACAACCGACCTAGGTCACAACTGGTTAGAAGACAATGTTTGATTCCAACGTTTATTTAGACAACTTGGTAGGAATTGAATGACTCCACGTGCCTTCCTCAGTTTTCCTCCTCATACCATGTCATGACCTTCCACACATGGCTGGCCTGCATGTTCCTCAGAGTGTTCACTTCTACTCGGTGTTGGCGCTTCGCTTTGTTTTCAAATTGAAATTGTGCGATACATTTTCAAACCTATCTAAGAAGTAGCCCTGACATTGAAATGGCTTCTGCAGTATAGGTTTGACAGATGTAAGTCTTCAATTCTTTGGCTTTGGTTTTTGTGCCTGTTAAGTTTTACACACATTCATTAAGAGAGAGACATTACCATCAGTGTATTACTTATTATTTTTTTTTTTCAAATTCCAGTATGTTTTTAAAGACTCATATTTCACTCAACAGTGTATTTGTTGAAATTGATGTGAGTGACTCTGTTTCCACGCTGAGACCGTGTCCGATGCTGTAGCTTGCCAGGGGCAGAATGGTTGCATTTAGGATGTTAGCTGCCTCACTGCAGAAAGTCAGCCTGTAAGAAAGTGAATCAGGACAGGGAAGACAGATTTACGTACCATGCAGCTCAAAATGACAACTACATTGTCATTTTCATTGTGAATACTTTTAGGTTCTATATTGGCTGTGATCTTTGTACTAACTGGTATCATGGAGAATGTGTTGGCATCACAGAAAAGGAGGCTAAGAAAATGGATGTGTACATCTGTAATGATTGTAAACGGGCACAAGAGGGCAGCAGTGAGGAATTGTACTGTATCTGCAGAACACCTTATGATGAGTCGCAGTGAGTTCTGATAAGAGCATCCTATTTAATCATTTAGGAAGCCAAACTGCTCTGACTGGTTATTTATTTTTAATTAAAAAGCAAGATTTTTTTTCTGCATATATTATACACTTACATTACAAATTCCTTCCCAGTTTTTTTTCTCTTCTTCCCTCTTTACCTCCCCTTCAAAGTTTATGTTGCTTCCTAGTGAATGTTTTAGATGCCTTGGGGGAAATATAGTTTAATGGTAGATTTGACTCTTCATTACGTAACACAGCAATTAATGAGATTTTAAACAGCCTGATTTGTTTGGACTTTATCAGTGTTTGAAATGGTGTGCTTTACTATAGGTTAGAAAAACACTAATTTGGGTTACAAGCTCTGAGATTGTTATTAGCTTATAGGATTTTGAATTCCCATTTGGGGAGCCGATATCAGCTTCCCATCTGATATGGTACCAGTTGAAAGATGTTTGCTTTTATTTTGTTTTGAGCTTTAAAGTCAATTAAATATGTTACATTTTTCTTCAAATTGGTTCCCAATATTACAGTGTCATTAGTAAACTTTTACTGCTTGTTCTTAACATCAGAAATCCTAAATTAACACATTGGAATGTCAGTCTTCAAGAATATTTAAACAACCATAATACTAAATCTGGTTATACCCCAGGGCTCTTAGCACGTTTTCAGGTGCATGTTTTATTACTTTCAGAAGTAAATGATAAGTAACATGGTCCCCTCTATTCTGAACTCACATTTCCATTTCGGATCTTGCAGATTTTATATTGGCTGCGATCGGTGTCAGAATTGGTACCACGGGCGCTGCGTTGGCATCTTACAAAGTGAGGCAGAGCTCATTGATGAGTATGTCTGTCCACAGTGCCAGTCAACAGAGGACGCCATGACAGTGCTCACACCGCTGACGGAGAAAGATTACGAGGGGCTGAAGAGGGTGCTGCGCTCCTTACAGGTCAGAGCGCGCTCGGACGTAGGGTGTGAGGAGGAAACCAACCATCGTGACTCGGGAAACGTGCAGGGCTTGAACTTCCTGATCTCAAAGGGAACGCTTAGTCACAGACCCCCACCTCTCCAGGGAAGTGCTTCCCCAACTTCAGTCCTTCACATGCCAGTGTCCTGAGGCTTCCCATTCCTACACACCACCTCAGCCATGGTTTATCTAGCACTTTGATTTAAAATAACTCACTGTTTTCAACCTATCTCACTGCCGTAGATAGAAAGCTGTTTGATTAAATTCTAGTGAGGTACAAATTCTTGTCTAAGGCTTTGAGCCAAAGCCTTCCCTCTCTTACTAAAAATAAAAAGGAGGCGGGGATGGCTTGCAGGCTTAGCAAGTGTCAAGAGAAGTATTCAAGACATGGAGTCCTAGTTTGGACCTTTCCCCAGTTACAGTCATAATCAGAGAAGTGAAAAGAAAATAGTAGTCTCCCTCTGTGGTTGAATGTTATTTAATGTCACATCTCTGCTGCTTCATTAACCGGCAGTAATAAGCATTCCACACTATGAACCCCTCCCACCCCAGTTTTACAGAAATGATTGCAATTTCAACATGACTCAGTTGGCAGATCATCAATTAGGAAGCAGATTACAGATCTCTTGACTCTTTCAGACCAGTTACCTCAACTGTAACACCTAAATGGAATCAGTATTTCCACCCTGACATTAACAATGCCTGGTGTGTTTTTGTTTTTTTTTTCATTTTAGGCCCATAAGATGGCCTGGCCTTTCCTTGAACCAGTAGATCCCAACGATGCCCCAGATTATTATGGTGTGATTAAGGAACCCATGGGTAAGTACTTGAGTGAGTCCAGAGTTTCAGCAGAAGTCTTGACAGATACTTTTCATCCATCAAATTGATACATCACGAGAGCATCTCATGCAGGGCTGGTGGAAATATATATTGGCCTGGCCCATTTGGAGGGTAAATTAGGAGGGCCTGTTAAAGTTTAAATGTGTGTACCCTTGGATCCAGCAGTCTGTGGATTTCATGTACACAAGTATATTGTTCATCACACCAATGTCTATCATTGCAAATACACTAGAAATGACCTAAATAGCCACCAGTAGAAGAGCAACTAAATCAAATGATACATCCACCCAGCGGAGTATTATGCAACTATGTAAAAGGATAAATTAAGTCAATGAGCAGGCTGGCGTCTGTCTGACCTTCTTGTCTTTCCCTGTTACCTCTTCCTCATCTTTTTCTTGACAGAGAGTAAATCTGGCGGGTGCACTGTATATAGCCTCATTTCCCAGGGGATGGGTAGGAGGAAACAGTAATAAATAATAAATAACATTTGTAAAGAAGATGAACGGCCGTAAGTGATTTAAAAAGAATCCATTTGCAAAAGAAATTATAAAAATTCAAATGGAGAAAAGCTTCTAGAGCTGCCAAAAGATAAGTTCCAGCTGATGAAAGAACTGCGTTCCAAAAGCTAGCTAAGCATTTCTAAAAGGGGAGCGCTAGTGTCTGACACAGACTTCCCAGAGGGGAGAACAGGAGGATGAGGTAAATGAGGATTCGGTTAAAACTGTCTTCAAAGACAAATGTAAATAACTTAAGTTGTTACCTCTGTTCTCCTGGTGTTGAAGGTGGAAGATGTCCGCCATCGTCCATGCTTCACATTTGTGTTGTCTCCTTTGAGAAAGCCCCCAGGGCTGTTTATTATATAAATACTGTATATATGCAAAGATTTGCTCTACTTCTAAAAAGAGCACAGTTAATTGTAGAAAATTTAGGAAATGGAGTGAAAAAGAGATGAAAGTACTTTTCATCTTTTCTTCACTGAGTCAAAAAGCCATCTTTATAGACGATACCACCTTTAAATTTGAGTGCGTGTGTGTGCGTGCCCACACGCCTGTGTGCATCAAAATTGAGATTATGTGGTAAATGCTTTCTGCCTGGTAGATAATTTTCTTTGTCATTTGTCTTTACAAACATGATTTTTGTGGCTTTAGATAGCCTATTGAATATACCTTATTTAACCAAAACTCATTTATTGAAGAGCTGGATTGTTTTCTTTTCTTTTTTTTTTTTTTTTTTTTTTTTCTTGAAACCACCAGAGTCAACATCATTGAAGGTATATAGAGAATGATACAGGTCTCCAAGATACTGTCTTGAGAGAAAAGTGCAAGTTGAAACACCACCTAGGTTTTAAGCAGTAAACGATGATATGTTTTCTTCGAGTGCATAAATATGTATAGAAATGTGTAGAAAAATGTAGAATAAACTGGAAATAGTAGTTCCTTTTGGGAATAGGAAGAAACCAACAGAATCTGAATTTTGTGTTTTCTTAAACAGAAACCATTTTAAATTGCTCACCTTGTTGTATAGCTGCAGTACACATTGTTAGCTGGATAGCACCTTCTCTTACATCAGCTGTGATAAAAACTTTCATAACTTTTAATTAAAAGAATAAAACCAAACCTACTGCCATCGAGTGGATTCCAACTTATAATGACCCCACATTGGGTTTCTGAGGCAGTAAATCTCTATGGAAGTAGATGGCCTCATCTTCCTTCCACAGAACAGCTGGTGGGTTTCAACCTCCTGGTTAGCAGTCAGATGCTTTAGGCACTGTGCCACTAGGGTCCTTTAATTATATGGAATTAAAACTGTTTATTCAGTCACTCCCGTTAATGGTCTTTTCTGTTGTTCATCTTTGTTCACATATCTACCTGCACTCTTTGTTTTCTTTGGGAAAATTCCTAGAATTAGAATTTCAGGGTCAAAGGGGGCATGTATACTTTTTTAGTCTTGTGGTCCACATTTTCAAATTGCAGACCAGCACAGTGAACCAGTTCTTCCTAACTATGCCCTTTCTCTCCACACTCTTGAAACATGAGGTATTAACCACTGTTTTGAGGGGAGTATTTTTCATCTTTGAAACTATTTATTTAAAAAATTCTAGGCTTGATACAAAAGTACAGATGTTAAAGAAGTGTAGAGAGGAAAATGTAAAATTTGCCACCACTTCCATCCTGTCCCCTAGAGGTAGTCTCTGAATAGATTGGTCCTGTGATTTGTAATCTCTGCTCTCAGGGCCGAAGATAGGTGGTTGCTTAACCTGGCATGTCTTTGCTAACTAGAGCCATATTAACTGTTGGAATTTTTTCTACGTGAATTTTCTATTTATGTATTCAGCCAGTTGTTCTCCTGAGATGTTCATATTGTTCTGAATGATATTGATGAACTATTTGTAAACTAAGGATGTTCGAAAGTTTTATAGGGGGTTGATTTTGCTTTTGGCATATGGTAGTTTTGAACATCACTGGATTCAGATGTGCTGATCATAATGAATTTTGCCTGTGGTGCCATGCTCACAAGTCTTTTGCCCCATCCCCAGTGTATATAAATACTCACCTATCTGTTACCCTAGCAGGAGCTCTGGTGGCGCAGTGGTTAAGGCATTGGCTGATAACTAGAAGGTTGGTAGTTCACACCTGTTCCTAATAGCGCATACCTGGCCCTTTTTCTCCAATGTTTGTCTTGAAACATTGGGTATTACCACTGTTGAAAAGCCCACTGCCATCAAGTCGGTTCCAAATCATAACGATCCCCACTGAGTTTCCAAGGCTATAAATCTCAGGAGATTTCCCTTGGAACAGCTGGTGGGTTGACCCGCCAGCCTCTGGTTAGCTGCCAAATGCCTTACCCACTGCACCACCAGTGCTCCTTTTACCACTCTTTAGAGGGGAATATTTTTTATATGAGATGAGGTCGTCTGCTTCCATTAAGATTTACAGCCTTGTAAACTGACAGTTCTACTCTGTCCTTTAGGGTCACAATGAATTAGAATCGACTCAGTGGCAGTGGGTTTTATTTGTGTGTTATCCTGGTATTTTTTATGGTTTTAATTTTTTGCCCTTAAGTTTTAATCCACTTAGACTTATTTTGGCATATAGTATAAGATAGAATTTTTTTTCCAGACATGTAGCCAGTTGGCCAACTCTTGTTTATTAATGAATTTTCTTTTCCCTACTGATTTGAAATGCCATCATCAGCATACATGAAATCTTCCACCAAATAGTTAGGTCTTCCCCAATTGTGGCTTCAGTTCATTGATGTCTGTGTCATCCTGCACAAAGCCACACCTCTCATTGTCATAGTTAATAATATTTGTCAATAACTAATTGGTTAAATTCTCTCCCATTTTATTTTTCAAATATTTCACAGATATTCTTGAGCTTGCTTTTTTTTTTTTTGGAAGTCCCTTTAATTTTTTTTTTTTTTTTTCATTCCAAAGTAAACATCTTTGAGATTTCATTTGGAATTACATTTTCACTGGCCCGTTAATGCTCCCAGATTTTATGTAAAATTGTGAACTGAATTTCCTTTAAACAGAACTTTCTCCTAAGTATTAATGTTATTTCAGGCAGGTTTAACTTAGCGTATTCCAAAGCATTGACATGTGTGACACCCTCAGCATTTTTCCCATTCCTGCATACTGTTACCTACTAATGTTTTTATTCATATCAGTTCATGTTTTCCCCTTCAGTTTACTTTAAGTACAAGCATTATATCGTTACCATCAGTATCATTTGTCACAAATAGTAAAAATAAAGAAAGTGATGTTATTAAAGTCCAGAGCAAGGATCACAAGACCAGTAGTGCAGAGATTTTTATCTTAATTCCGGGATGGCCACCTTCTGTTTGCACATGCAGCATCCTTAAGTGTTTGCATGTAAAAGTGGAGTGTAGTTAGATATGCATCGATGACATGTTGGTGTGGTTTCCTGTATTGCAACCAGTTGAGTAACGAGCTGCCATATATAGTTAACCAAAAGTGTAAGAAAAACAAAACTTTCTTAACAGTAGCCAGGATTTATATGGCAGACCCCCCAATCCAAAACAAATCCAGAAAGTGCTCCTGTTCTCTTTGTTAATTGCCAGACAAGCCTCCAGTGCCGGGCTGGCTCAGCTCCAGGGCTGCTTGGACAAGAAATAGATATTCTTGTTAGTTATGTTGCAAGTGCCAGGAATATTCACAGTTGTGTTGGAATAACCTTAAAGCTTTGATCTTGCTGTGCATTTGTGTTTTTAAGACCTTGCCACCATGGAAGAGAGAGTACAAAGACGATATTATGAAAGGTTGACGGAATTTGTGGCGGATATGACCAAAATTTTTGATAACTGCCGTTACTACAATCCAAGTGACTCCCCTTTTTACCAGTGTGCAGAAGTTCTTGAATCATTCTTTGTACAGAAATTAAAAGGATTCAAAGCTAGCAGGTGAGCACATGTGTCCCGTGTTCTGAATTAATTCAGTGGCTCCAATTCTATCCTGTCTATGCAGTGTGTGGTCAGTTTAGATCTTAAAACCAAGAATCTTTTAAAAAATCAAGAATCTACCATATGATACACTACTAAAGACCAATGGGCAGATATAACAGTGAGAAATTGCTGGATTTATCTTTTATTTACTTAAAAACTTTTTTTTTTTAATTGAAAAAGCATTTATTGAATGTTTACAGAATGCAAGGTATTATCTTAAATGACACAGGGCACGGCCAAGTATAATAAGACCAAGCTCTTGCTGCATTTACATCCTCATTAGGGGATTGTTGTTTACTGTTGTTTTTATGTGCCGTGGAGTCAGACCCGACTCATAGCGACCCCTCCTTGGATTTGCGAGGCAGTACCACTATGGAAGTAGATTGCCCAGCCTTCCTTCCGAGGAGTGGCTGGTGGGTTTGAACCACCAGCCCTCTGGTTAGCAGTTAAGTGCCTTAAGCACTACGCTACCAGAGCTCCATTAGGGGATTGGAGAACCATAAACATGACTGATCTCAAAGGTACTATGGGATGGGGACCATACACGAGGAGTTTACAATCTTTTCTCCTTAGTTCATGCTTGCTGTTATCTGTAAAATAAAAGTTCTGGATAATTTCTCTGTGAGCCAAGCTGGGAGTTAACCTCAGTCCAGAGATCTTTTTCTTGGCACCTCTAGTAACATAAAAGCATCGAGCTACGTTGTGTGGAGTTCGGTTATTTTCGCCTCCCGTTCTGTTTCTGAACCTCAGCAACCCTTCTCAAGACCATGATTTTTCTTCCTTCCAACAGAGGCCTGTTTTCTGTTCCTGTGGTAGCTGCCACCACCCTATACCCCTTGGGATTAATGACCCCCCACCCTGCACATCGCACCTACACTCAAAGTCACTGACCCCAGAGATTCAGAGCGAGCAGACCTGGGCCGGGCTGGGGCTTGAGCACCTGTATCTAATGGTCTCCTCGGGGACTCTGCGTACCAAGACGTAGGAAACAGTGCTCGACATGGTTGCTCTTCCGTGAGGAGCATCTGTAGTACTTTCTGTCTCGTCTCCTGAAGCAACATAGATGGTTACCCAGAGCTGTATTTTAAAGTCTGTTTACATAAAATCAAAGTGCAGGACACAAACCCATCGCAAGAATCCAGTCACTTTCTCAGCAAAAGAATAAGCTAGAAACAAGAAACGAAAGGAAGAAAGGTTGGCTAGCTATAGACCTAGAACCTTTACAAAATCTCTGCGACTGACCCATTTGTATTATCCCCTGTCTGTTAATCTGTTAGCTTTAAAACTTTAAATGTAAGCTTTAAAAGTTTAATGTCAAAAGACATTAATCCACTCTGTCTTCTGAATCTCCAGACTTCATTTATTCAGCATATGGTTTTTGAGAACCTGCTGTGTGCCAGAACTGGGAACTAAGCAATGAATAAAATAAAGCCCTGCTGTCCGTGAAGCTCACGTTCCTCCCTGGTGGACAGGGGAACAGTTGATACAGATCACTGTAAAACGCCAAGGATAAAAGAAGGTCGTAAGAGCTCCTAAAGAGGATAAAATAGGTTACCTGTCAACTCACCGGCAGTGAGTTTGGGCTTTTTGGTTTATAAAGTAGTGCTGCGGGAGAAAGATGTGGCAGTCTGCTTCCATAAAGAGTTACAGCCTAGGAGACCACAGGGCACAGCTTTTACTCTGTCCTGTAGGGTCACTATGAGTGGAATTAACTTGACAACAGTGGGTGGTGGTGGGTAGAAGCTTCCAAAGAGGATAAAGTAGGTCACCTAGGAAGTATTGAGTGTTAATTAGACCAGTATCAGATTTCCACTACAGCATGGACTGCTAGATGATTGTGGAGGAATAGATCCACAAGTGTGAGGAAAATCATTTGCAGCCTAAAGGTCTCTGTCCAACCAAGCAATCAGGTGTAGACACAGAATAAATGCATTTTCAGCCACGTAAGGACTCAGAAAAGACTTCTTCCATTTCTTTTCTTACCAAGTTATTTTAAGATGTGCTTTCACAAATATGTAAATCAAAAGAGTGAAAGACCTTGGATCCAGGAAAGAGAGGATGCAAAAGAAGGCCATGAGAATTCTCTGCCAGCAGATGCACGTTGGAGTGGGAACGGAGGGCTCCCGAGGGGACAGGAGATGTCTGGGGAAGAGAAAGTCATACATCAGATGATTTGTTTAAGACAGAGTAATGGAAGGCTAATAATGAATTTAAAAAAGCAGTTATAAACCCCACAAAAAGCCAAGAAGTTCATGGGAGGAACAGACACAGGAAAGAGGTAACTGTGGGGAGGAAGTGGGAAGAGAGCTGTTGCACTGTGGAAAATTGCAGTCAATGTCATGAGACAAAGTGTATGTAAACTGCTGTATGGAAAATGAATTTGCTCTGTAAACTTTCACCCAAATCACAATAAAAATTGGGGGGGAAAAAAACAGAAGGAAATGCCATATTAGAAATGACTAGCTGCTATAGAGAGAAATATTGGCATAGCCATAGAAACTGCATATTACATTGATTTTCATCTTTTAGAGTCAGCTTATAGACAAAGCAGGGAAAACTTGAATTCTGGAACAGAACATCATGTTGCCAGTCTGATCATATCAAAGCACGAATAACAATATAGGAAATGGAGGCAGACAGGTGAAAAGAACAACAATAGTATCAGGAACTTGAAAAGTCGAGAGTCAACCAATAACTATGTTGTTGTTGTTATGTGCCGTCAAGTCAGACCTGACTCATAGCGACCCCTCCTTGGGTTTCCGAGGCAGTATCTCCACCGAAGTAGACTGTCCGACCTTCCTTCCAAGGAGTGGCTGGTAGGTTTGAACCGCCAGCCTTCTGGTTAGCAGTCAAGTGCCTTAAGCAGTACACTACCAGAGCTCCTACCATTAACTGTAGTTCACAGAATAAAAGTTGAGGTGCATTAAAATCAGAGCAGAATTTAAAATTTGCCTTGAGAAGGGAGGTGGGAGAATGGTTAAGTAGCCCAGGCCTCATCTGCCATGCTAGAGTTTAAACAACTAAAGTTGATCAAATAAGAAATAGCAGCATAAAAATCTCACTACCCAACGAACCAAAAGTATAAAGAGTTCAAAGTGATGGATCTTTAGGAGGTGAGTGAGGGTAGGACAGAGGACCATGTAGCTTTTCATTTGAAGCCCTCTGCATTCTTTGATTTTTACCATATACATTGATTACTTGATTAAATTTCTCAAGTTTTTAAATAGGAAGGGTCTAACCTTTGGCAGAAACTGTAAAGGGAGAAGCCGGGGGGTTCGGATCCCACTCTGCTTCAAGGCTTGCAGACAGAACCCCAGCAGCTGCTGATGGAGGCGAGGAAAGCACCTGTGTTCGGGGTCTGTGGCCAAACAAGGAATTTGGGGAAGGAAAGGAGGCAGCCCAGAGGCTGGGTCTGCACAGTAAAGGCCCTTTGGGATATCTTGCCATCTGGTTATTTCCTGTGCCTTTTTATTAGAGTCGGTTTTACATGATTCTCATTAAAGAACATGGAAGCAGAATTGAGAAGTTGGCTCAGATCTGCTTAAATAAAATTGAAATGTGAAGAATTGTCTCAAGGCAACTGACTGTCACCTTTTCAGGGAATTTTCTGTTGATTTCCAGATTTAAGGCAGAATGAAGCATGTGAGTAGTCGATTGCTGGGGTTTGATTTATTTACGGGTTTCCAGTATTGTCTTGGCCATGTTTTCTCCATGTTTAATTCATGATCTCTAGCATTGTTTGCACATTGTTCTCTTGGCTACTCTTTGCTGTAATTTGTCAATCATACCATCCGTGTTCTTTCTCTTCTTCTAGGTTGTGATACCTTTAGTCTGAATGTTTAACTGGAATCAGAACTGGATGTTGGGGCCACTCTGTTGTATGCACTTCAGGATTCCCTGACTCAAATATTGCCCCAGAAATGTTCAGACCAGTTAATACCATTTTTTTAATGTTAAGGAAGATGTATAGTGGTAAACAATTAATTCTAGCAGCTACGTCAAACAATGTATTTAAAAATTGTAAGATCCTGGTGTATTGTGTTTATCTGCTATTCCAATATAAAGTACTTTAGCATAGTCCTGGCCACTATACAGTAACTTGGTTTACTAAAAAAGTTGTGACTAAAACTGTGAAACTAGGAAGGAGACTCTCTGGACTTTAATAGGAAAGTGTGATTTTTAGTATTGCTACTATATTTCTTTTAACAGATTTATTTTTCTCATAGTCCCCACATCAATATAAATTGTATGCTTGTTCACACGCACGCACAGACATATGTGCATCTTTTACCACAGTGGTAATGCTTCTGTAAATGTCGTTACTTACCTTTTTGGCTAAAAATGTTGTAATCGTTATTAGAAGGGAAAAAAATATATAAGTGAATTACTACATACTGTACAGGGAAATTTTTTTTAATATTATAGGTTACATTTTTCTTCCTTGTTCTCTTAGATCTGCTTGCCAAGGGTGAGTGAAAGAACGTGGCTGCTTCCCCGCAGCCTGGCTGACCTTGGCACCCACATAAAGTGCCATTGTTCTCCAAAATGAACGGTGCTTAATTGTTCCCTTTTTTCTGTATTCTGTAGGTCTCATAACAACAAACTCCAGTCCTCAGCTTCTTAAAGTTCAGCATGTTAACCGAACAGAGAACACAGCAAGAATCTGGTCGTCTGAACTATTTTAAATTAAGGAGCCAGAAATTCTTAGTCAGTTTATCCTGACAAGACTTGACCTAAACTTCGTTTTTATTGGTCATAACAGTCCAATTGTATTCTTGGCCAATTTTGTCCAACGGACAAGGGAAAAGCAAAGTCAATGACACCATTATCTTGTCAAGATCAAATGGTTTTACTATTGTGGCAGAAGCGGGAAACCTCTGTTTATTGAGAAAAAAAAAGCAAGAAAAAAAAAAAATATGGGGTCAAGTGTAACTCCATGGAAATGCCACGTCTGCTCTTCAGTGAAGAAGCTGGTTTAGAGTCTCTCAGAAAACTTTTGACTGTATTTATTTATTGTTGCAAAAAAGACGCTTTTTTATTGCTGCCCTCGTTTGTCAGCTAATTATTTTTTCTTATAAAATCCAGCCCCGGTTCCATGTAATCCATCCTGTATCTTATCATGATTCCTGTAGGTAAAAGTACAAGACGACCTCTAGATGTCTTTTCTTTCTATGAAAGGAGCTGCTATGTACACATGTGCACACACACAACTGGGAATCAACAATGAGTTTATTGTTCATGGTAGATAAAAATGAAGCTTGCATAAAGGCTGGGCTGAGAGGTCCTGGACTACAGACTCTGTTGCCTTGACTGTAACAGTACAGTTTGTCAGTTACTCTGCACCAGGCTAAAATGAGTAAAATCTATTTGAAGGTATCTTGTTTGTAAACATTTGTCAGATTCTAATTTTTTTCTTTTTGTATTAAAATTCAACTATGGATGTATATGAAACAAAATAAATGGAGATCATTTTTCTCCCACAGCTGTAGGTGTCTCTGAATGTGCTGTCCTGTTACCTGTGAGCCTGTGGGGAGAGGGAGGGCTGACAGAGAAAGAAAAGGCAGTCGGGCCTGACTGTACCTGGCTTTCTCCAGGACACTCCAGTGTTGAGTCAGCACTGCAACCAACAATGTAGGGCTGCTGATCCCGTTGCAGTGATTAATCATACTGATGATAAAGGGAGTGTGGCAGGACACACTGCCTCCATCGGACATTCTACGATGCCAGGCAAGTGATCACCGTGAGCTACAGCTGCTAACATGAATGAACGGCGGGGTGGCTTATATGCCCTCGCCCTTTTTGGTTTTTTGTTGTCGATTGGTTTTTTGTTTTGGGGGTTATTTCCCTCCATAAGGAAAAGAAGTGTAAGTAGTAGGACACAACAGAGGGAGCTGTGCGGTGTGTATGTTTTCTTTCACTGTTCTAACCTTACACGGTGTGTTGCTGCGTTGTAATGATAAGCTTCTCACAAGTCCACCATAGTTGGATTATGCAGTGTAGCAAAAATTTTACTAGATTTTGCACTGATTCTTACTAGCTTTGACCTACCAAGTTCTAGAATTTACCTAATTTTGGTTTTTAAGAAGTTTCCCTCTGTTTAATATTACCCTGCTATGCAAGACCTTTCCCAGACCTTAGTTTCTTCAAGGCATTGCTGCAGGTCCAGTTTTTCCTTATTACAGGCTCAGGTGTACAGGTGATTCCAAATTAATTTTATCTAATGAAGCCCGTTCCTTTTTGTACGTAAAGATGTCGCTTAAACCTATGCTTACAAACTAAAGAGACTAATTGCTCAATATGGAAACAAAAGTTTTTGCTTAAAATACTAAGATGAAAGTAGCTGAATATAGGTTATTTTGTCCTTTTAAAAAAAAATGCTACATATTGTATGCATTGTGCTGATGCAAGAATTCTACATTTTAGTGAATTATAAAATTATTCTGCATCTCATCACACCACAGTATTTCTGTTGTATTTATTCATTTATAAATAGGTACTGGCTTATAATTGAAAGCTTGTTGCAGAAAGACCCTCCCTACCTGTAGGCAGTAGATTGCTGTTTTTAACAAATTGTGGCAAGTTCTAAGGAGTTCTTTTTGTACGGAATAGGACATTTCATCCTAGAAAAATAAAGTAATGTTTTTGACATTGGATTTGGTGCCGTTTCTAATGAAACAATGGTTGGTTGGTTGATGCCGTATTTTCTGTAGCTGTTGGTATTGCCAAATTGTACATAAAAGGTGAATTTATGGGAATCCTCATACTAGGAAGATGTTAATTTCCTACATGTATTTAATGGTTCAAAGCCTTTTGCAGTTTTTTATCACCATATAAATACATAAAGACATTTTATAGTTTTATCAATTACAGAGTTTTAGTCTTTCAAAAGTAATTTTTGAAGGAAAAAAATACATTCTTATAAAACATGAGTTTCAAAGCTGCTTTTTTTATGAACTTTGACAGACATTTACTGTTCAGTAAGATAGACTTACCACAGCTGTTTTCCTTCCAATAACCCAGGTCGCATAGTGCACATTTGTGATGTTGTTAAAATATTTTTATCCCAGTCTATCCCAGTCTTTGGGCTTGTAAGTTAGATTTAGATTTCGTTAGCTAAAATATTTTCAATGCTTGTTAATTTTTCATCTGCCAAGTTCAAACTCCTTGAAACCATTTCATAAAAATTATTTTCATAATATTAACAAGACTTTTTTCCTCCTATCCACATTTGTATTTTAATGCCCTGCAGGAGGCAAAAGAAACGGGGGGGGGGGGAGCGAACTTTTGGAGATATTTTCTGACGTAAAACACTTCCATACCTTTTTATATTTCACATGGTCTGGGGTCCACCTAGAGACACTGGGATTTGCTGCTGTTTGTAATCTTATCTTTGAAGAATGTGCAAATAAAAGTTCTTACCCTATTTCTGTTCATTTCCAGCAGGCAGACTCCCTGCTTCTTTGTGTGTTTCTGATATTAAAGAGCCAGCCCAGTGGCCTTTTAAGTCTCTGCCCGATTATGGGCAGAGGGCGGAGCTGCAGGTTATTGGAACTCCCACTGTTCATGATTTGAGGCAAGCGCTGATAAACCTCAGGTTTCTGGTCCTTAAAATGGGAGTGACCAGATCTCCTGGGGGAGTAGCTGTCATGAGTGCTTGGGGGTTGGGGGAGGAGTCAGCTGAGAGCTATTTTAATCCTTTGAAATCTCCTGAGGTGCTTCTAGTACTGATAATAAAATCCACCCATTGCTCTCCAGACAGTTCCTCCACATAGCAACTCTATAGGACACATTGAAACTGCCTCATAAGGTTTCCAAGCCTGTAATCTTTATGGAAGCAGACTGCCCCTGTCTTTATCCCGCGGATCGTCTGGTGGATTCGAACCACAGACCTTTTGATTAGCAGCAGGTACTTTGACCTGCGCCACCAGGTATGAGGTAGAATAAGATACTGTACTGAAAAAGACATTTTTCAAAAGATGACACCATTTAATCCAATGTGGACCTAATTCAATAAAAGAAGCTGTTTAAAAGGTGCTAAAGTCTTGCTTTATTTATTTATAACTTGCTCAAAATATGTCCTGAATATAAGTTTATGAGTTGTCGGCATGAGGTCAGTTTTTAGGTGTGGGCCTAAATATGTATTTGATCAACCTTAAAAATGAATTTAAGAGAAAGATAACACTGCCAAGTAATACCTCTAAAGGGCTACTATAAAATTCTACTGTTGTTGTTGTTAAGTGCCGTCGAGTCGTTTCCGACTCATAGCGACCCCATGCACAGCAGAACGAAACACTGCCCGATCCCGCGCCAGCCCCACAATCCCTGCTATACTTGAGCCCATCATTGCAGCCACCATATCAATCCATCTCGTTGAAGGCCTCCCCCTCTTTCGTCGACCCTCCACCCTACCAAGCATGACATCCTTCTCCAGGGAATGGTCCCTTCTTACAACATGACCAAAATAGGTGAGACAAAGTCTGGCCATTCTTGCTTCCAAGGAGCATTCTGGCTGCACTTCCTCCAGGACAGATCTGTTAGTTCTTATAAAATTCTACTACTCCCCCCCAAAAAAATTATCTACCAAAAGAAGAACAAGTATTTTTTTCCTTGAATTCTAAAGTAACAATTTGAAGGAAGGATGCTACTGAGTTACTCTTGAAGGCAAATTAGTGTTTTATTGCCAAGGGACTGCTCTGTCTGTTCTCATAAAGGGCCCCTAACGTCTGTAGCACAAACCAATGTGCTAAGAAAAATCTGTCAGTCTGACAAAAACAATGAATTTGCTCATTAAAATTTTCTTTAAAATTCCGTAAGTATCCAAGACACTGACTAAATCATGAAAAGGACACACTTTTTTGCCTGACCTGGAATTAACAGTCTGGCATTTATCGTCTTTGTCTTGTGCGGGCAATTTCTAAAAAGCTGGCCAGCCTACGTTTGATAGAGCGTACCTGTTAACTCTGTGACTTTCCAACCTCACAAATCTCCCACAGCTCTGGGACCTCTTACGTGTTCCCCAAATTTCTCAGAAACCATTACCAAATCAGTCTAACAAACATTCAGGCTTAAGTGAAGGTGATTCTCCTCTTTTCAACCAGAGCTATTTATTTCTAACTCTTCCTATTTTAACACCTGCCCATCCACTCCTTATCTATTCGGCCATTTTGTACTCCCCACCCCCCCAGGCTACTCAAGGTCACCACTCAGCCCTTTGACATTTAAAATTTCAGCTTTGATCTTTGTAACTGATGCTACTGTGTGTCCCCAGTTAATTTTACCTTAAACTAATCTAGAAGTGCCTGACTAGCCTTGTCCACTCACCAAGAGTTGAGGTAACAGTGCAGGTGATTCCCATCAAGTAAGATTTTTTAGGAAGTTTGGGAAAGACTCTAAATATCCCTCCATAGTGCTTTTACCACAGGATAGTCAGAACCTCTCGATTTTCTCTCCATGGCCCATGTGTGGGACAAAGGTGGCCCTTTCCCCTCACAATTTGACATTCTGTCTTGGTACATGCGTCCCTGCATGCTCTTGGGTCCCATCCTGGTGATCTTTTAGATACACAGCTGCTCTGTGGCCCTTACAGACATTTTGTGCCACTGAAGACACATCTCAGGCTCCCTGAGTATCACCTTTGAGGCAAGGAGGCTGTTTTACTCTCTTCAGTGCAGTTCCTTTATTCCTCTGTAGGCATTACTCTTCAACCAGGGCTTATTGGTGTCTATTCACAGTGCTTCAAATTCACCAAGGTAACAGCCTCATCTTCTGAAAACACCCATCATGTCTTTGTGGGCTCAAGTATAAATTCAGTGTTAATTGCAGCTAGTGATGAACGCTTTTTCAAACCACATGAAAAATGTTTAAAATCCACGTGCTTGTGAACTGTCATTGATGATGGTATTGGCTCCAGAGTTTTGGGGATAAGTTTAAGAGAGGCTTTTTCCCAAACCTTGGGGTTCAGTGAGACTAAAAAAGCAGGTGCACCCAAGATCTGATTTCAAGGCAAGATTTACTGCTTTACAAACACACACAATACTTAGTCTTAATAGAAAAATGACATCAGATACACCCAGAACACCTTTAGCATTGGGATAGCTGCCAGTTTGGCACACAACATAAGTTATCAGGAGCAGGGAGGTATGAAAATAAACTATATATTTGGGTCCATCTGGAACCCTTGTTTGAGTATTTTGCTCAAATTAAGCCCTTTAGTACTCTTTAAATGTAAATTTTGAATACTTATCCTGGGCTCTGACCCTAGCGTGTTGATCTAAATGACCCTTCACACATAAATGTCTGACTAGTGCACGCACTTTTATGTACAGAATTGAAAACGTGTTGATTTGAGTATAAAATTGGATTTATATGTGATATAAACTATTCAAAGTTGTATATTTAAATTCAAGGAAGTGGGTTTTTGTGAACTATTTCTACTGGAGAATATTTAAATTAAAATAAATTTTTAAAAAAAAGATGGAAGTAGTGATCTGTTAACAGGGAAGTTATCTGAGCTGGGTCAATGACTGGCTGGCACTAGAGGTGAATAACTGCCATTGAGCTCAGAAGCACAGCATTTCAAAAGCATTTTGTAAATAAAGTGGCAACTTCAAGATTAGAGTTGGAACTATGCGAGTCTTCATAAAGGAGCTGTGGGCCCTATTCTGAAGGAAGACTCCATTAGTGAAGGTAGGCCTTTGATGCCTTGTGGCCGAACTCCCAATCTCCTCAGATCCAGAATGTCGGGATGGCATGTTTCAAATGCACTGAGTGTGAATTGCGCCTTGAACTTGACCATCCCTTTTTCTGTTAAATCTTTTCACGTAGCTGCTGTTGCTCCTAACCAGTCCATCTCCTGGTCGGACGCGTCCTCTTAGGACCCGGAGCAGAGCTGTGGGGAGTTGCCGTCTCTTGTGGTAGATGTGACCCATCACGATATACCTGCTGCCTGAACAAAACAAAATAGAAATTAGTCTTTTTTTTTTTTTCAATGCCACAAAACAATAAGAAAATGTACATTCCTAAATGTGAAGCTATTATCCTGCTGCCGGTGTTGAAACTCAGACATTTAACCTACAGGCAACAGATGGAAATAGCCTAGTGCCCTTTAGAAGATAACCAGATAATCAACCCATAAACAGCCAATATTACTGAACAAACGTCCTAATCACAGAGCATCAGCAGGATTTTCCAAAGCTTATCTCCGGAAAGACGTCTGGAAATGGGTATCGCCACCCCAACTCCCGCCCGTCCGTTTCCACACCTCAGTTCTGAACAGAGCCCCTTGTGCACAAATATTTACTGAGTGGGAGAAACAGCTGATGAGGCTTGAATCACAGAGTGGCCCAGATAATACCTTTCGGCTACATTCTATACATTTGATAACATATCCAAAAAAAGGTGCCGGAGTGGCTATGTACAATAGAGACCAGACTCTGGAACTCAAGTTACAAATGGTATAAAGCACGTTTATAAAGTGGTCTTTTGGATCAGTTTCAATACCAGGTTTAAATTCTGGACATGGCTTATTGCAACTGGAGAAGTCTAGGGCCAGTATGTGAACGCGGAAGAAGAAGCCGTCAGGAGTGCTGTACAGACGGTTCATCTTGTACAGCCCGTCGCGGTCCACCAGCAGAGTCACCAGCCGGATCCCCTTGCCGAGCACCTCCACATCATGCACGATTCCGTTCACTGCTACTTTTAAAACACAAACAAAACGTTTAGAGAAAAGCATAACATTGATTTGTTTTTTTTCATTCTCTGGGGCGTTTTTAAACCAGAAAATGGCCCAAACGGGTTTGTGGCCAGTAGGGTCGCCCCCGTGGGTAGGTTTCTCTAGGAGATGCGTTTAGGGGTGTCCCTGTGCACATCCCGGCGCTCCTCGGCTCCGGAAGTCTCGCCCGGCGGCCTGGACTCTGCAGCCGGGCCGGCAGCTGGTGCGCGACGGGGTTACCGAATTCGCTCCCGCAGTAGGACTCGCGCTCGTCCAAGTCCGTCCTGCAGGCGCGCGCGCACGTCTCCGCGTCCCTCCCGGGCGAGCTGAAGCGCGGCGGCGCGGACGCGGATCCCGGGGGCGGCGCGGCGGCGCGCGGC